GGCTTCACTGCCGAGTATTGCCTGAAAGCTTACGTGCAACCATTTAATTCTGTTGGTGAAGACTATTTCGGACCATTTTACGTTAGGAGGAGGAGGATAGTTGAAAAACGATATGGCTGTTTGTTCACCTGCTTGTCTATTAGATCAGTCCACTTCGAGATGGCCCACACTCTAGGTATTGACTCATTTTTGTGCGCTCTCTCCAAATTCGTTGCTAGATGAGCTCACCCAAAACACATGTTTGGCGAAAACGGTTCAAGCTACAGAGGAGCCGACGTCAGTCTTAGGCAGATCCTGTGTAGTTGGGGCCAGAATAAGATAACAAATACTGTTTTCAAAGGAGATTGTGAATGGTCCTTTGACCCTCCGAGAGTTATTCATCTAGGCGGTTCATGGGAAAGTATCATGAAGTCAATAAGAAGAATTCTACAATCACTACTGTTTCATAAAATATTGACGGATCTTCTTTGGAGACCTTTTTAATAGAAGCTGAACAATCGACCACTCGTAAAGCTGGTTAACGACTGTGATAGTCTGAATGTACTCACGCCGAATATGTTATTGTTAGTTTACAGAGGTGTATCATTCGAACAAACGCAGATGAGTAAAAAACGTGCTTATAAAACAGGAAATAGAAGGAAACGCAACAACTAGTCAACCTATTCTGGAACAGATGGCTACAGGAGTACCTACTAACCCTTCAGGCGAGATCCAAGTGGTTGAACATGAGAAAAAATCTACAACCGGGAGACTGGGTGTCAGTAAATTATATTGACCTACCGAGAAGTCTGTGGCCGAAAGCTATAGCTAGACAGGTCAATTATGGTCCAGACGGACAAGTCAGAACAGTTGGATTAAGGGCAGCAACCGAAGAGATCAGCCGGGACATATGGAACTTGTGCCTGCTGAAAGAAGTCGATCATTTGTAAATGCCCTACCAATTGAAGGGCATCATTATCTTTTTGTATCAACGTGACTCATAATTCTATTCATTTTCACAAGACACGCTATATTTGTCGGTATGTTTGCTCGCCTTATCAGTCCAGAAACTTAGAAAACATTCAGTCTTCCTAATGACACAACTGGCTAATATTCCTTCTGGCGGTAGGTTAAGTATAGTTGAAGAGACGTCCTTCACTACATTCCAAGGTAATGCAACAACCAGTGAGACAGTATCTTTCAGAGGATCTTGAATTTTAATCATTGGTAAAAGATCTAATATAAACATTACAACTGGCAGAGCATTTGATTCATAGCACTTGGAGCCTATTTAGAACTACTAAAGCTTTGGAGAAAAACTTGTGTTAAAAAGGCAGCTCCATATGTTCATTGAAAAATTGGGAAAATGAACGAAAGCTAAAGCCCCATTAATTCTCAGAGCTGGAACCATATTCGTTTATCGATCAAAAGGACCATTACCCTAAATAGCCTTACCAACGGTCGAACAGGAGTTAGTCAGTCTTCAGAAGAGTAGGTTTCCAAGATAGTGGGTTTTTCTGAATGGGCAGCATCGAATATAATTGTAAAACAGCCCAATGAAGTCACCCAGCCATTTTCAGATTACCCAACACGAATAAAATTTCATTAGCAGCCCACCAACATACACTACCGTTAGCGAAAACTTGTTATCAAAGCTGAGTGGTAGGAAGTATTTCTCAAAAATGAACCTATCAGAAGCGAATCTACAGATTCCAGCAGCAGAAGGCTGTCAAAAATAACGGTCTATAAACACCTGTAAAAGACTCCTAGTATCTCAGACTGCCGTTAGTCTTTCAACAATCCCCGAACTATATGCCATAAGACATCCAGTGCTGAGGCCTATTTCGAAGATATTCTGATCGTTAGGAAAGACCAAATGGGTCTAAAGATGATGCTGGATATGGTTTACACGAATATCGGACTTCGGGTTTAGGTTACACATTGAGAGACGAAAATTCGTCATAGGAGAATAATGCTGTCTGGAAGACCCAATCAAGAAAACGCATGGGCTATTAGTATTATGGCTAAGTGGACCGGCGTATCCATATCATGACCTCTAAAAGGAATAGTCAGTCACAATAAAATCATTCCTCCAAACCTCGACCACCACCAAATAAACTACTGAAGAAAAATGGATAGAATCGGTCATTGAATATCAATAAGCCTTCAGTAAAACGAAACAGCTACCGCCATCAGATCTTTAGTTATGCATTGCACTCCAGCCCTGATGACTGCGGTCGCTCCTGATTTCAGAATAAAGGCAGCCACTAAACACGTCTATCTCAATGGATCTGAGAATGTTACTGCTCGTTGATAATGGTAGTCATTTGAAAAAGTTAGAGCTACCTGTCATTTTTGCAGTGAAAAGTTGCTTGTTAATCGACTTACATTATGGACAATCTTGTAGTGGTATACTTTTACGAAGATAAAACAATTGCTGAAATGCAAACATTTATTATTCTACTCAATCCTGACAATAATTGTTATATTGTACTCCTTTTGTATATCTGTACTATTTAGCAACACCAAAAGACGATATTAAGTCGCATGTAAAGAAGATGAAGCCGATCCTCAAATAGCATTGACAGTTAGGTCTGAATCCATCAAGGAAAATATGTAGAGCAATAGAAGACTGAGTGACATAGGACGTCATCCCCCGACCAAATGGTCAAAACCGAAGGTTAGAGGCGAACTGTTGCATCATTATCGATCGCGAGACTCATTTAAAATCAGAGATTCATGCATCATGTTCGATCATCGCATCATAGTTCCGTCACTTGATATACTTGAAACTATTACGGGTTCACCTTAGTCGATAAATGTGAACAAGACAATGAACCAGTGACACCGTAGGCCAGTCTGATCCGTTGCCCCAAAGGAACTGATGAAAAAGTCTTGACATAGCGCAGAATGTGTATTCTACAAACACCCAGTAAACACAGTGATCTCAAGCACACAAATCGCTCTTCTTTATGCATCATAGAAACGTCCTTGGGAGTCACAAAAATAGCACACTAACCGATCACAGCGAAGGAGTTCCCTGGTGGAAAATGTGATCTCAAGGTCAACTGACCAGCCTATGGATAAAATCTAAAATTGAGGCCTTTATCAAGTGGGTTGTGGGGATCGAACGTCCCCAACAAGTTTGGGAAGCTCTCCGACGTCATCTAGAAATTATTTCACAGCGACCATTCAGGTACAAATTAAACGAAGTCTTGAGCACGAAGCCATGTGTATTGGCCATTTATGGATTACGAACTCCAAGAAAAATGTCACACTACCTAGAAACTGCTAATAATTCTGCAGTATGGAAACCGTAACCTTGCCTGGAACCGGATGACATTTAGCAAATAATACATGATTTTACTGACCCTCTACATGGAAAACACTATATGGCAATCGTGAGTGCTTTTGAAAGGTGGCCAGAAGTCCATGCCATACCAATTTTAGAGCAGAAATAATCAACAGCGACTCACTGAGTTGGCTTATCCGTCTCATGGTCCCCGGTATTGAGGTGTCTACCAAAAAGTGAGACAAGGTCTCCAGAGGCGATCGAACAACTGTGTAACCTAGCTGTTTGAGGCTTGGTGTTTTCAGTCTAAACCAAAATCTACAAACACACACGCTTTCCCTGTACATTTTGACACTTACTGGAATAAGTACCTTACCTCTCATTTTTCGCAATTTGGATTGTTCTATACGTTTAAGTATTACAACTGAATGCTGTATTGGCTGTATCAAGTAGACGACTTAACAGGCTATCATATCATTCACATACTTTTTAAAGATAACGTATTTGATGTCCATTTACATTTTGATGAATCTGTTATCAGAAAATATTTCTTTGAATTCTCGTATCTTGATCCAACATCCCATATATTGAAACTGTTATTGATACTATAGAGTATTAGACCACGAACTTTACTGAATGTTCATTTTCTGATTGTTCCAGTAAGTTCCAAATACATTAAAAAACTTAAATTAGATTTAACCTTTGCTTGTAGCTTCGTACACGCAATTGTTTAGGTCGTAATTAATCGAACCACTCTTGTGTTGACAGAATATGAAGAATAATATTGACTATAATATCTATTAAGATAACACTCTCGCAATATGTCTAAACTATAAACAATTAGTGGAGGTATTTCTTCGTAACAAGAATGTACAAACGAACTGGTGGTTGCACGGTAATCAACATTCGACCAGATTTTTTAATACTGCGATATATAACATGTAACAACCAAATGAAAATCTGAAATAAAATCTCAGTTGAATAACAGGTATGAGTAGAATAAGCCGTCACTTATTGAAATTTTAAACCTCAGTTTAAGGCAATCTGAGAAATACATACACAAAGTTGTCATATCCGACTATGGACAGGAGTTAGTTATTGGTGGTAGCTGACTTGGAAATAATCGTCTAAGTTAAACGAAATGAGATATTTATGGATAGCGTGATTAACCACATGTCATGTAATTTCGTACAGCTACAAATCCTTGAGTATATTTTCATGATAGGACATTGTATAAATTATTTCTGTGGTGCGAGCTACTTATAAGTAGTATATGACGTGAGCGTCAACGTAATGTCAGCAGAAGATGGGCGAAGATCAAGAAAGGAAGAGTTAGAACACAATGGAATTTGTATGAAACGCATGAATAGTGACAATGGATTGATGTTTTGCAACAGGAACAGTCCAGTTCGATATGATGAACTGATATTTTGCAAATGAACGATTTACGATATGGTTTTCCGATTTTACTGAGTAACTCTGTAATTTTCGTTACATACAATTCGGTTGCCCCACCTGTGTTCTCCTTCACTACATTTTGACTTGTTAAGTGAGACACTTAGTTTTTGGTAACTCCCAAAAGCGGATAAACAGGGTGCTTTGGTTATTGACAAAAACTTGTTGATAATTTTTAAAAGGTGTTTCAGTCATTTTCAAAGAACTGCAATGATGAAACACGACTTAATTGTACGTCAAAAGTATATACAGGTAACTAAAATATGTTTACAACTACACAAAATCAAAACGATATATTTATGCTCTGAACATTAATTTTCTTCATCTAACAAACTTGAATCAAAACGAACTACACGACAATCAAGTGACTTTAGGTTGATAAGTACAAAAGAGAATGTTGAATCAAAACGCGGTACAGATACCAATAAGCAACCAGAATTATTTTTATCTATCACTTCACTCCATTTTAATCGAGCACGTCTCCAAGATGGTTGATCCTCAGGTTGACAACCAGCTATATAGATATCAGGATAGTCAGGACTAAAGTTTTGAGCAGCTGAAACGGAAGACGAACGGAGAAGAAGTGGGTCGGTAGTGAGCATTGGATATCCTCCCAGCGTATCAGGACAAGTAGGTGCTAAATGACCCCAAAGTAAGGTAGCTTCCATCCGGTCACAAGCATTCTCTAATTTCGTATATCTGACAGAATTTGTATTAAAAATATGAATGCGGTAAATGGCAAAATAAGAATTGTATGGTCTAAAAATGTACACAATCAACTATCAACTACATGAAACTAGTCTAGCAATAATAGTTACCTTCGGAACAGTGTCATGTAACAATAGTGTGTTGTTTAAATCGTAATGACTTTAGATTGGTCCATCCCAATACAGTTTTCATACGAAAAAATAAAATTGGGTGATGATACAAAACAGAGTGCTATATACTCCATTAAATATTAAATAGTCAGCATTTCAAAAAACACCAATCATTTATTAAACAATGAGCCTATACTAAATTTATTCAATAATTGTATTCAATGTTTTAATTACGGAACTTGGAACAATTAGATGTATTAGCATGAACAATGCCTGATCAAAATATACTATTTGTCTGAATTCTAAAGACGAGTTTGATGAACTGTATGAAGCGACAGCGATGACAGTAAAGACAGGTTTCTAAATCAGACGAATTAAAATGAATCAATTAGAACAATGGTTAACTGCTTGAAAAAGTACGAACTAGATCGAAAAGTACGAATACACTGAACCTCACAGAAAAAACCCTCTCCGTTCACTAGCATGACTGATAGGTGTAAGCATTTACTACCTTAAAAAACGAATCCTGTAAACATATATGAATTTTCTATATTCAAGAAAATCTCCACGCAATTGACTTGGAGTTTAACTTTCAGATCAATGTTATGGTTCAACTTAGCTATTCCAAACTAAGATAGGTGAAGTGAGTTTCAAATATGTAACTCTGTGGTTGAAACCAAGTGCTTTATCCGCTAAACCATAGTTCCATAAGTACTCGCTAAGTCCAAAATTTACTTAATTTAGTGATTGGACGAGCCATCAGTGTTTTTACCGAAGTACAGTAACCTTTTAATTTAACTTGGTAACTAAGTACAGGTCAATGTACATCCTCCCGGTCACACCTTTTTTATGAAAGAATAGGTCATTACTTGGTAGCTGAGTTTGAAATTACAATCTAACAATTGAAAACCCAGTACTTTAAAAACTGAGCCAGTGTTTAACCCTAGTTCAAATGTGAAGCTAACACAAAGACTGATAAATAGAGAGTATAGTCTCTTTCTACCTTAAAATTTGACAAACTAACAGAAAATTATTTCCTGAATATGCTATTTTATAATCCCTTCTGGTTTGTTTCATCTCAAGACCATATAAAACGTTGTGAATTAGGTTAATACAAAATTTCAAAAAACCAGTAATTCATCCTAATAATTTGCATAGAACTAGCTTATAGTTGCGTATATTAAAAGATGACAAACAACCTGAGTGGATATACGGATAAATATTCAGACAGGTCTTTCCACAAAATAGAACTTCATATGTATGGTTAACAAAGATTCTTTTCTACAATGGATTAAGCAACCGAGTTCTTAATGAACAGATGTGAACTCATATCTTATTCTGCTTACTTCAGCTTGGAATATGGTACAGTATTTAGTCTCCAAATTAAAATTCCAACGTGACAGTAATATACGGCTAGTATCTGATAGTGAAAAAAGTACATCCCATTATAACACGAAATTTACCTAGTTCGATTTTCCACCATATCAATTTTGTTAAGATTAAAAATCTCGCTGCACGACTGTAAAGTATGAACCTTGAAACTAGAAAATCCTAAGACGGTACGTTTTCAGTTAGGTTTTCGCAGCATTTTTCACGTGCAGCGAAAATGTCAAAAGAACAATGTTGATGTTAAGCATGAATTTTATTGGTTAAAATACTTAATTACTTAATTAGGTGATTGTTCAGTATGTTGTAGGAGACTTCTTCTTCTTCTAAACGTTATTTGTAAAAAAAACTCAAAAAAGATTCTCCATAATAAAATTAATAATCATCTTAATAAAAACCCTTCTCTTTTGTATACAAAAGATATATATATATATATATATATATATATATATATATATATATATATATATATGAATAAACTGAACAACTTGAAAAGTGAATGAGGGTAGAGGTGAAACGTACATCCAAAACTCCCAACGGATCACTTTCAACATATAATAGTGAAATATTTAGACCTATTCCAAGTTTTAGCTTTCCATATTTAATAAAACAAGCAAGAAGATTGACTATATCAGGAACTTCATTAAATATGTACAATAAGAATCATTAATTTCAGTGACAAATATATGATAACTTTTCATACATATATATAAGTAATAGATTGTTATATGAATGAAAGATAAATTCTTACCTATATAATTCATTTACACCTTGACCAGAAGTAGCCAGAATATTTCGGTTTCTCAACGTAAAACTATAAGGATTTGTTCGACCACATAAATTTCCACTTCCAACACCACCGGAACGAGAAACTGCACAAGGTAAAGCAGCCGAATGAATTGGTTGTTGTGGCATAAGCACTGAAGAAGGATCAGATGGTCCTGGCAACAAATCTATAGATATACCATTAGAATTTGTGCCATTATTTTTACATCCTGGTCCTATAGGAAGAGTGGATAACCATTGATCAAAACGAGCCATAGCGGTAACAGTTTCTGCATCGGCGTTACGAGTTAAGTAGCGAGCCTGAATAGGACGAGAATCAGCTTAAAAATTAGTACATAATAGAATGACTAGTTTACAATTCGTATCATGTCTCTATGATTATTCCCCAATAAGGAAAATCATTCTGGTTCTTTTATAGCATTATGTGACTTGCATCACCATAGTGACAATGATTACACTAACGAAAATAAAAAGTGAATAATGGGTATAAACGTTTGACGAAAGATGTACGAAGGTAATTTTCATCACGGAAATATTTTGGGTCATTGAACTGGTATTCGATGGTTCATATGTTTAATCTCAATCAATTCGCGATATTGTTTAGTCCTAAGAGTTCTGGTGAAAAGCCACGGCTAGTAGAAGTTTATCATATCACATAAAAAAGTTACCCATTGAAAACAAAAGAAGATAGTAGCAAACTGACTGAGGCTAGACGTGTAAACTATTAGATCCCGACTCTGTGGTTTGAAAGTTAAGTATTCACTGTGAGGCCTGAAAATCTAGGTCTGGGATCGCGGTATCACACTGCCGAAGGGTTTCATGCCAGAGTGAAACAGTTGTCCATTGCTTCCTGGTTTACAAAAGTTGTCTAGCTAACATCAGTCCGATGATAATTATTAAATCTCAATATACACACTTATCATAATTTTAGTTAGAACTGTTTTGATAATGTATTATGTGCTAATGTATGCCGAATTCTATGAGTACTATATTTTTTAATAAATATATATGGATTCCCTAATTTTAAAATCTCATCTTAACTAGCCACTTGAATAAATAGTGTTATTTACGCTAAAAAGATAAGAAATTCCTAACTGTGCGCTAGCTGCACTACACGTCGTTATTGATGAGTAGAGTGAATTTGGTGCTACTGTCCTAAAGGTAACACATGCCTTCAGTCAAGTTCACGGTGTCTATTAAAACTCTCTAACCCGTAAATATTCTGATTTAATAGACATAGATAAAGTACTTAATACCAAAATAAAGGTAAATGAAGTGGAGAAAATGACTTTCCAGACTTACACGCTGTGTAAGACGTACAGCTGGGGTGCACTTATCACCATCGTTATCTTTACTCAACTTTGATGCTTGAATTGAGTCTCCTAAAATCAGAAGATGTATCAAACCAGAATCAGTATGAGACTCTGATGAACCATCAAAGTCTCCTGCACAACGCATCCAGTCGGCAAGCAGTTGAAGAGCCATTGAATGTCCCGGTTTCACATGGCCACTACCTGCAAATCCTAAGGCGCTAACGACACCGATCCAAGGTCCAGAATTGCGAAAAGCTGTTATGTTAACGTCAATAGAAGGAATTTCTTGAACAATAATAGGTTTTTCAGGTTGGGGCTCCATGAACAACATATCTTCGACAATGAAAGAGCCTATGATGATCAACCAAGATGATAGTTTTTGTGATTGTAAATTATGCAAGAACAAAATTACATTTTGCTGCGAATTACCGTTTTTAAAGAATGAAACTAAATCAGCTGTTCTAATCATAATATACTTTTGAACTTTTGAACCTATCACCTTGTTACTAATATGACAAACTTACTAGAAATAAGTTATTTTTTAGAAATTCGAGGCAGAGTTATTAATCCTTGTAACCAAATCCCAATCCATCTCCGAAAATGATGAGTAACCAGGTAGAAATATCAAACCTCAGGATATTCGTAGTCAATGTGCTACATAAACCTGCATATGAACACCAAGTAATACACTGTCTTGCAATTAAATACATGGCATCGATATCAGACAACGTAAGATTAGGAAACGAATGATCGAGCTAGTAAATCGTTAGTAAGGATGAATGGATATATGTAGATTTCAATCGACATCTACCTAATACCACTCATATAAATACTATCCAAACTTTTCACTACTTTTATTGGAATGGTATGAGTTAAAGGTCACGTATATATAGTCTGAATATTTGCTGACCATTTTATCCAATAAGCAGAAACTCAGTGTATGAAAAAAACTTATTGACAGAAGTGGGATTGCAGCTGACATCTCATTATGCCACTAATACTACCCTACCCTGTTATCTTCCACTACAAATATTAAAAGGCTTTGACAAAAGTTATACTTTTTAGAAATCATGTACCCAAAGCTGGTATTGCTACAATCGCATTCACCAAAGAAACTCGTGAATGATCTGATGCATGATTTTCAACTGTTGCAACAAGGGTTAACATTTTCTTAAACGGAGATTTTTGTAAACCTTTAAGAGTTCGTTGCTATTGTTGACGCTTCACTATAAGGGCCATGGACAAGATGAAAAGCATATTTCAGCAATAGATTCCTTGATGTTGCATTTTCAATTTTGTATAGGATCTTTATGTCCTATAATTTGAAAGGATGAAAGCATTGCAATTTATTTTGTAAGAAAAGCTTTCGTATTAGAATTTTGTTTCGAAATTCACTCAAAATTGAAAGGTGAATGACGTGAAGACAAAGATTAAGCTTAATGGTTATGCTGACTTTAATGCTGAACAACCTACAAAACTGATATCCGTCAATCGCTCATAAAATTCAACTATATTTATTTTGTGTTGCTATATAAAATGTAAGCTTGTCATTTTACCAAAAACACCTATCATTTTGATTGATAGCCTTGTCTTTGCTTTCATTCCATTCAGGAGTTTATGCCAATAAGTCGGTTGCGTGAGCAGTTATCACTCGGCCATACTGTGTTCTTCTATCGTTCATTCCTTCTTCACAAAGAGAGTAACAGGTTTTTCAGGTAAATGAGTGTTAGATTTATCGAAAATTTTCAACTCGGGTAGAATAAGTCAAAAGATCGTTCTGGAAATATTTACGTATGAATATATAAAAATACTAGGTAGTCCTAAGACAAATAATCATTGTAAAAATAACAAACAAATGAAAAAACCAATTTTTATTTTCTTCCTTAATTTTACGTATATTTGTAGTCATATAATCACTCCTTTTTGTTGTTATTTTTACGTAACAATCCTCTTTCTGTTATCATTACGAAGTATGAGTCTGATCAATTTCTACAAATATTCGAAACTACAGTGACCAAAAATAAAAAATAAACCATATATTTTGTTAGTTAAGAATTAATGATACTTTCCAAAGATGTAATAGTTAAGGCCATCTCCTTTTCTAGCTCGACGTAAAACGCCAATATAAGTGAAATATTTATGCCAGGAATGCAGTTCGATTTTGATAAGAAGTTTTCAGATAACGTAGGATTAATAATCTTAGTGCACAACCTGTCGTTGAATCTTAAAGCAACATAAAGAAATAACGTACTAATTTAAATCGATGACTGTCATCGTTAGGAAACGAGAAAAATTATATCTAAAACAGAAACTATACTGAACCATGACTCATCTTTGGGAAGTGTAGCTTATTTACTTAACAATTATATGTTTTAAAGTTTTTAGAAAACATATGTAAACTGGCTTACAGGTAGTGACTAGAACTATTATTTAGCTTATATATTCATTCGGTTAAATAGTAGTGATAAAGATGCATAGTGCACTCGACACTTTGTGACTCTGTAAATGATGAAAGTCATTTGACTAACTCGCGTTTGTTCACACCTATTATCACAATCGACATGAAACATGAACAGTAGTATTCATGAATATTATGAAATTACCTGGTTGGGATTCAGGCTCGTAACCGAGGGCTGCTATTACAACTCCTGTAACCAGATTAGCTGGAGACCAAGGTTTTGAAATCTGACCACAAAAGCTCAAAGAAATACGTTGTACTTCATCTTCAAGAAAAAGTACATCATCATCCGACGTGAGATGAACCAACGATTGAGTATCCGTTGAAGAAATTCGGTTATCTGATTCGATGTTTTCAATTTCCACCGCTGCAATGTCATGTAGTACACTAGGTTTTAAACGCATTTCCTATAGTGAAAACACAAACCAATGTTATAAAAAACAGCTTAATTCCCCCGAACATTTACCATTACTTGAATGATACTTGAATATTTACTGTAAAATCAAGTCATTTACTGAAAATGATTTCTTTTGGCTTAATGTCTTGCAAAAATACAGTATCAATAACCAAGATCACAAGAATAATATAAATTCAAAAAGTTTATGTAAAACAACCTCCAGATACTTGACTTGACGCCTTTCAATCGCTACATTCCGCACCTCATATCAATGAATACCAACGCACAAACAACCAATCTACTATCCGGTTAGATCAAATTTTTGAATAACGATAAGTGTATGAATTTATATACATATGGTATATCCTGCATAATTGCCGGGCACCTATCTATACAGTAAAACGATTCGTTTGCTTCTGAATATGATAAAAAACTAAAGTCTCTTTATTATTAGTACAGAAGATTTATTAGCCTTAATTCCTTGTTCTGCTGCTAGCACCAGGTGATACTAAATCGTCATAACAGTTAGTCCTCCTCCGTTATTACTAAGTAAAACCTGACACATTTTATGCATCGGTTTAAGTCGTCATGCCTCATTAGCACCGCGCGATAAAACCATCAAAATAAATCCTAGATTAGCAGGAACAATAACAGCATCAATAATATTAGGCTTAGAAAAATGACCATAACGTCATAAGGATATTTCGGGATTCAGAAACTAAAGGGAAATAATGAGTGAGTGTACCTGTGCCATTGTAGGCTATTCTGACTAGCCATTGAGTGCATAAACAGAAATAACTCCCAGTTTCTTCCTTCCTCCTTTAATTATCAGATTTTATATACGAATTCCACAGTACCCGAGTAGAAACACTAGCCTTCATATTTTGTCGCAAAGTTTATAAACCTATACCTGCTCCGATCAGTACTGGATCGTTGAAATAAATAACCAATGAATACTTTATATAAAAATAACATCGACAGAAGTGATAATGAAAGATTTACATGTCAACCACTTTGCTTCTAAAGTCCAATATGCGATAACAGTAATTTTAAACGCGAAATTTTACCTTGAAAAGTGTGCCAATTATTATGCATTTTTCATCGCTGTTCAAGTCAGCTAATGATCGAACAGGGAAACGCGAGGCTCCAGATTTTGCGGATGAAGTAGACCATTTCTGTTCAGCCAACACTGTCAACACTCTCTTAGCTGCAGTTAGACGTGCCACATAGATCTGTGCATACTGACGATTAAAACTGAATGAATTAGCTGTGACTTGAAATCGACGACTATTTATGAATTGATCATTCTGTACTAAGGACGAAACTGTCATTACTCAACCTAAATATAGGTTAACCAATCAACATTAATTATAAGTAACACACTTGTTGAACAGTAGTTTAAAGGTCAACAATAGTATTTGAAAATGTACTGGTCCTCAATACCCGGTGAAAATGAGTTGAGTAAATCCAAAACAATACAACAGAATCTGAGAAAACCTAAAGAAAGTGAAAGAACGATTAATGAATGTTTGATTCACAAGCATAATAAATGGTTTATTTACCTATATAATGTTTCTACAAAGAATAAACAGTCAAAGTATAACTGAGTAATCACACAAGTCTATTCAGTAGACCATAGGTAGTAATAAAGTCATGTGGGTAAAAAAACCCTAATAAGCGGCATAGAATTTTAGCTCATGACCATATAGCTGACAGTCGACAAAATGCCTATACCGGATGTTTTGTAACAAACAATAAAATGCAGGATAGATCTAATATTCTCAATACAGAGAATCAATGAAAACTGAGAATAAGTATTTTTTAACTTAAGCAACAAAATCTACTTACAATATGTGATGAATTGACGAAACACTAGTAATGTTACTTTGTTATGATTACCAACATCATTCACTTGCTACTTGCATAAACGGAACAAAAACCAATAATGCTTGATCCAGGAGGAAAGATTGCAGATGAAGATTTATTTACGCATCAACCAGTGGTTGAAATGGGGTTAATATTGAACTATAAATCACAATGAAGTATAAGCCGGTTTTAGATACCCGATTAATAGATAAACCTGAATACAATGAACTGACAGTAGTTAATGTTAACTAATAACTATTTATTTAAACACATTGGTACACAGGAGCGCCAAAATATATATGCGCCTCACAAATCACTGAATTGGTGTGTAGGCTGGGATACTGTCTAGACACTCAACTAGATGTAGCTGGTTTTCTTAGGCAGACATTGCGTGAGAATTCGGTTGCTGGGTCTAATTCGCAAGGCAGTGGGGCAACGCTAGGTCATGCAGTTCGATGTTACCCGACGATCAACACTAGGTTCATACACCATTCGTTTTCTTGGGATCATGGGGCCCATGTGCATAATTTGTTGACTGGTTTATTTGTTGGATAATTTTTCAACATCTCTGATAGCTGAGGCGACCAGAATGATGGGTGATGTTGGTGATTTAGTTATTAATATCTTAGCCAGGCACTTTTAATGAACTTTATTATGTACTCATTAACTTTCCCACTTTGATACGCTATTTGCAGACAAATCAGACGTATGCGAGATTTTGTATGATCTTTTGCTTTGTTAATAATACGATCCTACTGAGGAAAGCTAGTTTTCTTTGGGGAATAAAGATCACAGCTATTTATTTTTTTTGCACTGAGTGGTCTGAAATGTAGTCTATAAGTAGACTGAAATTTAAGTGAAACTAGACTAACTGGTGTAAATTTTGATATAGTTCCTACCTGAGAGAAAATTTTGGTCAAATACCACTATTTTTCCATATCAGATGGCAAGGCAGATATTTCCGCATCTTTCCCCTATAGTCGCACTAATTCTCCCCGATATATATCTCGTCTTTATTTGTTTGGGCGCTTAACGTGTTACCGTGTTCAGATCTCAGTTGAGATCATTAAGTCACGATTTGTGTCCGAAGCACAACCAAGTTGTAGTAAAGTATGTGTATACAGTAAAAAGAGAAGGTAAACGGGAAGCACTCACTCACACTCACGTAAAATCACCTTTCATCTGAACAACCTTGAGCAATTAGGTTCACGCGGGCATCTAGAATTTGAAGTGCTTAAAATCAGTTAAATGTGCATCAGTTAACTCAGTTTTTCCTACTTGTACGTTCAGCTAACTACTTTCCATATCCAATATCTTTATCGCAAGTTAGTATAAAACCAACTGATTTTTTCCACTTGCTTCTTACTGGTTCGGTTCGGTTCCAGATATTTAGGAATGTCAAGAAATCCCAGAAATAATCGAGAATAAGACAAATATTTTCAGGGCGAACCGTTCCTTTCTTCCAACGAAACTGTAGCTACAGTTTTTAAACGTGAGAACCATTACAACAATCTCTTTGAATATTTTATCGGACACTTGGATGATAGAATATCAGTGAAACAGTTGCACACAATGTTAAGGTCTGGTAAAATTAGTAAGTCCATATTTTACTGGACTTCGACAAAACACTTCGAACTATCGATGTATTTATGACATAGATAAACTAATTGAAATAGTTCTCTGTAGTCTTTATAGGAATCCCTGCAAATGCAACTGCAGATCGAACTAATCTTACAGATGCTTGTTCATGGCCAGCACCTTAGGATGCCACAGATGATCAGTGTCTGAAAAAACACATTTTTAACCGAGGATCGAAAATCCGGTCAGATAGGAAGTCGAAAATGAGACTGTTCAAAGATATATTTAGTAGATTTACAAAGGTTTATATGACCAAAGCTGATATTTGTTGTGATGGATTCGAATCACGTAGTATTCAACAGTGATTTGGTACGGACATTTGAACGTGAGTCTTCAGCCGGGAATCTGTCCAATACGACAGTGTACGTTAGAATAAATCCTGGAAATTTCTACACATTTTATCTTTGGAATTTATTTGGTGTTCGTATATGGAAGTATTCAGGATTATTTATAAACGCCCTACAGCTACAGACTAGTGTGACTATCGGTTTTATAACCTGGAATCCGATTTCAAAAATCTGGAGTGGGAAAGAGCATAGCAGTCAAGTTTGGGAAAATAATGGTGATCTTATTTCAGACGAATTTATTAGTGAACAAAGGACGAATTAAATACGATTTAACTGAAATATGGCCAAGATTTGATAAAAATAATGACCACTTAGATATAAACCTCGAAAAGTCCTCAAATCTGGTTGAGTTTGAAACGTTTTTGCTCAATGCATGTTAGACATCTCTTTGACTTTTGGTGTATTGACTATGGTCACCACGACAAATCTATTTAATGCCAATTATTAGGGTAAATCCTTCCGTACGTGAAGTATCAGAAGGACAGTTGTGGTTGGATTTAGGATACATTTGTCGACGACCTCGTGGTATCGAAATAATACCGAGATCGTGCCAAAGTTTACAAACAAGTGTGTCGAGCGTACGTGTGCAATCTCAATGTCACAATTAAACGGGAAGTGAGTCTTTCGTACGACTAAACAAAGGGGTACAGTAGGTTATGATAATAAAAGTTTCCACTACACCAACCGTATTCTCTTCATAAAAGTAGCTCACTACATACTTCGTTCTTGACGATAACGATGAATGAATATATTTCAACAAAATATGTGGCACATCATTTTGAATGAATATGTTTCCGTGTACGCTCAGTGCTTGACGTGCATTACAGCTAACAGCATGAATGAAGACATCCCAGAAGTGAATTTGAAATTTTAGTTAATGCACCTAGTAGAATTCGACAATCTGACACCATTAACTACAATGTTTGCGAATACTTTTCGGGATTAACTCGTCTCAGTGGAAAGAATACAATACAAAACCACTTCAAAGTGTTTCATTGGACAATACTGTCATTCTTTTATTCACTCGCTCGTTCACTCGAATAAATCCACTTTATGTTACCTAATCTCTTTGGTCTACGTATTCAGTGTTGGAATCTGTAACTATTTGTTTTTAAACCGACCTATCAAGTATTAAGTCATGTCTGAATAAATTCAAGGTTATGATGAGTTTTCCTAGATGACTTTTACTTTTTATTGCCGGCTGGAAACGGTTTCTCTTACCTTTGTATGCGGATATTTGGTCCAATGTTGCTGGAAATACTCTTGTTGATTCTCAGAAGTTGAACACTTATTGATTACTCATCGCTCCGGCCGTTCAGTAGCTTATCTTGTGAGAAAAAACCTCTGACCATCTGAGCCAAATTGTAATTTCGATATCATAGCTTTCTTTCTAAAGTCGGAAACCTTTAAATCAAGCACAAATTCGAGTCGTGGTTTAGCAAAAAACGAGTCACTTAAAAATGCTTTACGGAAGAGCATTGTTTGGTGTAACAGAATATATCTTGTTCACAGACTCTGCTTTCAGACCGGATACGGGAACTTTCGTTTTTACATTCCCAATGGTGGATGAACATACACTGACTTTTTTCCAATATTAATCAGTCTCGCTCGCTGTATCATATGTAGTCATAAAAATAGTTTGACATTTAAAGCAAAACGGAATTTTATTTTCAAAGAGAATTATCTTATGAGAAATTTTCATTCAGCTGAGAATTTCGATTTTGACTGCCTACCCCTTATTACTACAGAAGGCAGACGCTGGCTTCAAGAGTCATATGATTGCAAGCAGCACCTAACACCAGTTTCTTCACCATTCATCTTCCGAATTCCCTCGTGAAGAGGCTCGCTTTCAGATCAGCCTTCTCCCGTTAAGTTTGGTTCAATAGATGTGTTTATCCGACCCATCGTATAACATGGTATGCTCATCGTTTTATGATGTCATCTATTACTCATTCTCTACTGGTGAAGATCCGTATAGAGTAACCATCCAGCGTCCCAGTACTATATCTCCCATGAGCAAACCATACCAAACACTAACACTAAACGGTCTGAAGTCATGTATTTCAAGGGCAGCATCCATCGCTATCTTCATCGCATCAAAGGACACTGGAACAAAAATTAACCGGCGACCCTCAGTAAAAAAATCTTATTTATCAATTATCCTTGATTCCTATCTTCATTTGTGACAGAAAGTTTTAGTTTTTAATGTTTGAGACACCATAACATGACTTTCTCTTAACCCTATTCTTGTGCTAACCTAACTAATTCGTCCACAATGTTAACCCAAGTGGAAAACAGGATATTGTCAGTGATCTAAAATTCTTCTGTGGTTTCAGGACACGGATGCAAAAGAAACGATAACTTTACGCTACCACGTCATAATCGAAATTGAAATTTTATCCTTGAGCAATGATCAACAGCTAGGATTTTGATTCAAAGAAATCATCTTCTAGCTTTTATAGAAGCAGTAGTTACTAATGGAAACTTTTACAAAGATTATCTGATCTCTGTGGGGTGTGGTTCCGCTGTCTCTGCGATATTTCAGTACCTAGGCGCTTCCTACGGTTCATGCAAAGTCATCCATTTCCATTGTTAAGAAGATTTTAGCCCCAGAAGGAATATGTCAACAGAACTAACTAAACAGATACATAAAATTTCACTAAAAGCAACCACTTTGGTCTTCTCTGGTTGTGATGTGTGATGAAGTCAATACTAGATGAAATATATAGATTTACAGAAGACAGTTTACCAATAAAATATGACACCTTATCTTCCCTCCTCTATTCCCGGGATAAACAGATTATATACTGTGTTCTCCCACATTTTTTCTGGTCCTCAAGCGACACTGATCAATCCACGCATTCCAACCTCTTTTGGTCATCTCTTTAACTGCAACTTCTAGGCAACGTTACATGACACGTACGTCACTTTGTGAGTAGCATTCACTACACAGTGCGCTCAATTATTTCGTGGGCATCAAGAGAAAAATAGCTATAGCATAGACCAAAAAAGTGATTAAAATGGAGGGCAAATATATCAGACAAAACTCCCTAGTTTTACTCAATGTTCCAGTGTTGGGGGATAACTAGTTAGGAAGTCGAGCAGCCTTCTATAAAGAACAGCAAGACAATCACTGTACGATGCTTGGAATTGGTACCACTGGATAGAATATGTTGCTAGTATAAGGGTCAAAATGTAGCAAAAAGTTAATCCTTCCTATCGTGGGTAGATCCAGATTCAGTTCACGTTACGGAGGTAATCTTACTGACATTTCAGAGACCGTCGGGTTATTAATCCACTCAGACCTCAGTTAGAGACCAGAAACCGTATGATGTTGGAGATACATCTAGGAGATCGATAAACAACTGAGAACCGGGCTGCATGGCAGCTCGCAGAGTTCCTCAGCTGTGAGTGATAATCCTGATGAAGCTCAAGGACACACTATGTAGCAGTGGTTCCCCATAGCACAGGTCTTCGTATCGCTGAGTTAATTAGTGTGTCTCTGCTACCTAATCGGTAACATTTCACTATCATCCAGTCTCTAATTCTGACGTCTGTAAACGTCATAGATCAAGAGAAACTAGTTGAGGCACTCGGCGTGGTACAGCTTTGAGAATGAAGTTTTGGATGAAATACAACTCAGCGGCACTGATATATGAGGAGACCGACATCAAAACTTGGGACTATTCTGATTTATAAGGGACTAAAAGGTGGTTCGATAATGGCTTAAAACATATGGAGTACTTCACTTCGCCTCAACATGAACATCCTTCCAGTACATCACCATACGTCTATCAACGTAACCCCCGAAAAATTCCACGGCCTGAAGCGAACAACCAGGTGCGCATCTACCTTTCTTCTTTAGGAGTTCCTGTTACTAGGAACGCCTTGCTATCCAGAATGACCACAGGCTTGAAGCTATGACCTAAGAAACATGTGTTCACTCATTGATGACCATCTCCCACTAGGACCAGCTGTGTCCAAAGTATGTTTTATGACTTCTCTGTTGTTGTTATCATCACATATCGCTAACCGAACTCCCGCTCTTTTACCATGATCTCCGTTTCTTCTCTTGATTTTAAACTTCGATCTTCACATACTGTCTGTTTTATCGATAACTTACTTTCCTATTTAGTTTTTGTTACTATCTTCAACAATTCAATCAACCGACCTCCTTTCTAACGAAGCGATAACTACTGACATTCAGAAACCCTGCTGACTAATCTGAAATACATGACATTCAAGTCTGTTACTAACTACGGAAACGACTAGAATTAGTACAGTTGGTTGGTTAAACTACCATCTTCTGAAAGTTACCAAATACTTTGAACCGTACAGAAACAAGAAGTAGCGAGCACATAACAATTATTGGGTTTATACTAGCTCGTGAAAAATATATTGGACATCGGAAGGCCGTACACATTTTAAAGTAGATTATCACGTGTGTTTGGGTACTGATTAAATAATAACTGTGGTATGATTATCTCAGTAATTCTCGTTTTTTTTTACTTGAAGTCGATATTTTTAAAGTGCTTTTTAGCTCTGAACTTTATGAAGAATATTTTCTTAGTTCCACTGACGTTTACTAGTGAACTTAAACTATTAATTGATACCTCTGATCCTAGTAAGTAGTCGTCTAGCATCCAGCAGTTCCTGACGATCATAAAAATTTCTGACCTAAGTGCAGTATTACATCAAAAGATTAATTAATACATAGGTGCTATCGTGGAAATATGTCGGTGCATTTCCTGCGTTTTGTATCAGACATTAAAGATGCTATTGGTGGTACGTATATGTCACAGTCATTTCTTATTGCATTTGAACAAAAACCAGGCAGTTGGTGTATGGGTAGGAGTTTAGTGTGTCAAAGTTTTGATTCAAGTAGTATAGTTAGCCTATGCTAATATTTCTGATCAAGTCAAGGTTGTTCTTAAGTACATTTAATCTGAATCATCATTTTCCATTCTACACATCTAAATATTGTTAGCTGGCTTCCAAACTATTGCATTTACACATACTCTTTTTCAGGCCATTAACAAATATTTGCTTGTGTGATACTTCGAAAGATGGCTGATCAAGGTCGATCTCTAATGTAAGATATTAAGATAAAGTTACTTTATTCTAGTCTCTGCTGCAAATGTGGCGTTCAAATCTATTCAAATACAGCAAACATGTGTTTTACATGTCTGTCCAGTGATGCAGATATTGCTGAACATATTGATCGACAAAATACCATAACTTTTTGCCCGAAATGCGAGCGGTAAGGCACTTGCATTCTCTTACTGCTTTTAGTTATTTAAACCCACCATCGAACTGGGTTTCTGCCGAGCCGGAGTCACCAGAGTTGCTTTCGTTATGCATCAAGAAGATTCGTGGAATTAAGAAGGGTTTGGACGTTCGAAGCGCTAGGTTTATCTGGACGGAGCCTCATAGTAGAAGAATATCTATAGAGGTACTCATTATTATGTTATGCTTATCGGCTGGAAATTTTGTTGTTAAACTAATACACTGTAGCGAAAACATAAACTACATAGCATCATTCTAGTAATCCCAATTTATTTACATTTATGCTTCCGTGGGTATATACTGTATACAGAATTGATTGCTGACTGCGGGCACTGCATTTTGTGGCAGTGATTGTAGAAAGATACTACCCCTTTAACAGTAATGTAATACTTTTGATACTATTCTGTACGTATGGTTATAGTCAACTTTCATTACAAACAGTCAACTAGTGCAGGTCCAGCTCTGAAATAACTCAGAGAAGAAACAAACATTATCCACAATTGAAAAGTGTTTCTTTAGTAGTGTACTCGAGTGCTATATAGTATGGAGAAATCATCCTTAATGTGTGTATATTGATTTAAGTTGACTGCTGTTCATTAATTTTCAGTATTAATTTACTCAGTGTAACTTTCGTTCATATGATTTCCAATTCCATTTTCTTTGTATCAGTTGACTCCATTCGAGTGACAGTTGTTTACTTGATAATTTCTGTATTTAGCAATCACTAAACCTAATCGGTATGTAGCTGAATGAACTCGAGTCGAATTAAATTCTCACGAGCTCTTTACCAATAAAATATTCTCAAGATTGTTTTTAGAGTAGTCGGGTTTACATGAAATGAAACCTGGCACATCCTGGTTCGAAGTAATCTCAGTGACCTCAAATCATATCAGTTATAAGATAGAGTGCTACTATAAACCTACCAATCTCTTGATAATCTTATGTTTGTATAAATCTGAAGTGTGTTATTTTCTAACATTCTCACGTTTTATAGACTTCAGTATGGGGGTTCTATTAACATGATAGGTTCCTGACTGTTTCCTTCTCTTATTCGTCCCAAATTGAAATACACACTTCTCCATTCTTAACCCATTTTCTCTAGCATGCAAATCGAGATAACAGATTTTCAACCTAATTTTTATATGAACTAGTTTTCTACTACTGTATCTGTTAATTGGATTAATGTGACGTATATTTTTCACTTTAAATTCTGATTTGGGGATAGTCTAGCAAAATGCTAGACGGAAAAACGTCACATGTTCGATTGTTTTTTCTTTGTTTTCTATTTCTTAACTAGTGTCTGAGTAACAACTCTAGTTTTTGTGCATTGTTTCTTTTGCATCTCTGGATATCTTGAGAAATCAAAACACTAAATTTTCTTTTCAAATTCTTTAATTCATCTATTCCTCAGGTAGGTAAAATGCTGAGACTACTTTTTAAAAATTAATCTTATCTACATACCATTTATCAAAATTCTGTTTAAAAGCTTTAAACCTCTGTAATATTTTTGCCTAATACTCCCATTAAAAAATGGAACGTTGTAAGAACCAATGTTATTATTATTATTATCATAAAAGTACAGGTTGTAAACATTATATACCAAGACAGCACTTACAGTTAGTGAAATATAGGGTTTGTAATACTCTTAAGTACCTATCCTGTACTAACATATGGCTACGTACCTATTTTGAATACTGGACTTATATGTATAACTATGAAGTAAAGATTTATTTCTGAAAAACAATTAATATCATACAGATTTCCTTAAGAGTTTTGAGTTCTGCTGGTTTTCAAACAAATTAAACTTTAACATTTTGGGAATGTTCTTGTAGGTAACTGTACAAGGTACATTGCAAACAGGTGATCGTGTTGAGCAACAAATTCCAATCGATTTCACAGTTCATACTCAACAATGTACATCGTGTACTCGTAGCGCTGCCAAAGATTACTGGAATGCCTGCGTTCAAGTTCGTCAAAAGGTAAGCTTCATTCTCTGTGAAAGAAAGTTGACTCCTGAGTGATAAATAAACATTTCTTTAGTAATTATGTGGTTATTAGTAACTGATATTCGTTTGTTATATCTCATAGTAGTGTCGCTTTATATAAACTTAGTCGTGACTTTAAGTTATTTTGTTCACTTTGTCTTTATCAGTTGTGTTATATTTCTGATCCTCAAACAACATGTATGACTCAAAACATAGTTCTCAAACCTGTACTTATCTAATGAGTTCCACTGAATAACAATGAACTGACTGTCGAGGTTTTATGTCTCGTCCGGTCAAACTACTTGCTGTTCTTTTGGGAAACTGTTTAGACAGAATACTAAATATTCCAATTGTGCATATGAGGACACCACATATAAACGAATAATACTGTCCTCGATTAGATCGTCGCCAGGCTTTACTCTAATATACATAAATATTTATATAAAGACTTCAAACCGGTCAAGATAATTTAAGTCGATAATCGCAATGAAACAGAATACGTAACAACTCGTAATATTCTTCACCGTCTAATTATTTTACACTCTTCTTAATATGTTATTCTGATAGTGCTTTGTGATTATTGTCTTAAGTCTGTTTATCCAAGTTTGACCTACTACTTCCAATGCTGAACTGTTAACAAAAACTTCAGTTATTGTATTTTATTATTCTTACCATTAACAATGAACCTGTCTACTATCAACTTGTACTTTTACCCATTACGTATGGTTGTATAATCTGTTTCATTGTGATTATTTACTCATAACTTGCCTTGATTGGTTCAATATTTTCACATAGATATTTCTGTATTTTGGAGTGAAGCCTGATAACGATCTAATTGAAAACAATATTGTTCGCTTATATGCTTCCTTCTAGATAGAATACGTTTTTAAAGTACTCTGTATTCCTTTTATGTCATATTTTATAAAACAGATTAAACTGCTAAGTATTTTTTTGATGCGGTTACTTATAAATACAAGACGTGGCACCACTTACTAAATGACCTCAATTATTTAATTTCATTGTTAGTGTATTAATATTTCGCTGTATATTCGAGCTTTTAGGTTGGAAAACCAGCTATAATTGAAAGTATTCAAGTAAAACTTTCACTGTTTTGTATTTTTAGAAGGATCTTTATTACCTTCATCTCCGTATTCATTTCTCGAAATGTTGTAAATGCTTATTTGTTTACAACATTCAGTATTTAAATAAACCAAGCAGATTCTATCTTGAGCAAAAAGTGAACTTCTGACCTAATGGTTCAGGCACTCGCCTTTTGACTAGCAAATACAGGTTAAAGCCTCTACTTTAAAACAGACAGCCCAGTAGTAGCACAAGTCCTCACCTAAACGGTTTGCTTCATTACAGAGTAAACAACTTTGTTCTTAGTAGGAGCTACAATAGCAAAAATACAGTGTGGTGTTTATTTTTCTACGTTTATTTGATTTGTACGCTACAATTGGGAGAAGTACCCTAATTAATTCCTACAAAGCTTAAGATGTATTATGTAAACTGGACCTATCTGTTAGTGATGTATACCAAGTGTAATGTCTATCGATACGTGTTCGAGTATGCACTTGAGTACGACACGATCTTTTATTCGGCCACTTACTGCATCCATAAATGTTCATAGGTAAGGTTTTATGACATATACTGGATTTTATTTTGTCATGCTACCTTTTATTGACCCCTTATATTTGTTAATCCTCGGAAATATTTTCAATCACGTTAATTTACCTCTAGGCATAAATGTTATTTTTTAGTCTTTGTTTGTTGATATGTAAGACAGAATGGCGCAAGTGTTTATCCACGCAATCGCTTTGATATTATTTTTCATCACTTCAGTTTTGGAACTCTGTGGCACCATAAGTTCAAAACTGTATCCGATTGATTATCGGACACTATGATTAAAAAAGTGACTACTAAAATGGATTGTCGCTTGTTCTGCGACAGGTAAGAAATTTGTAAATTACTTAATTACTAACCTAGTAATTCATTTCAGGATTTCTAAAAGCCCCCAGCATCATTTACTGTCCGTGCTAGTATTTAGGCAGATAAGTATTGTCAGTACACTAGCACACGGTTTAGGTTGTTTTACTTAAGATCTATTCTGAAATTCCCTCAATAAATTCTCATGTTCTAAGTATCGATTTTTCGTTCTATAGGTTGATCATAAAAAAACACTACTGCATCTAGAACAAGTCATTCTTCGTTCTGGTATGAACAAAACTTGTTCAAATATTAAACAAGTTTCAGGTAGGTTGATATTTGCTTTGATGTTATGGTAAATATTTACATTTTGGGTACTGAATATTGTGACTTTATTCCTATCCGAGTTTAAATTATCATAGGGAAAGCTTTCATCATCTACTTTTCCTTGTAAGCTGTACTAAAAGAAAGACTTTCGAACTGACTAGAAGAGCTCTTTTAAAAACTCGAATTTTTAGGAAACAGAATATTTGCTACACCCCCTCCATGACCGTTCAGGTAGACTGTTAGTAATACAAGGCTTACAAGTGTTCACATTTATTAATTTTAACTTTTAGTTTCAAGATTTCCTAAACACATTGTTTTGTGCTGAGTTCATAAATCTGTAAATTGAGATTTAGTAGTCTTAGCACACTTCCCTTTTTACTCCAATATGTTAGTGCTTCAAATCAAACTGAATAGACATATTAACATTAAATGTCATAAAAAATTCATCAGCTCTCTTCAGGTTATTGTATTTCGCAAGAAGACAATAAAAAATAGAAACAGTGGAAATACGTTAAAATAAATAAGGACAATACTAATCGAAGGATAAGAATAAATGAATGAAAAAAAATACTCAACCAAGTGATTGTTTACTAAAATAATCACTTTTTACTGCAAGTTGCGATTATGCTCCGTTAGCTTGAGTTTTGTCTGTTAGACAGTATTATTATCTGTCATACAGAAACGCGACTCAAAGTACGAGGATTCGTGCTCAATTACAAATTTAGGTTTCCTGTCTTGTCGAGCATATTTCAAAACTACCTCTGCTTACTTAAATCAGAGATTTCGTGATAATAGTCGAATTTGAGTTTTTAACTCCCCGTTGCTATTCGTATAGGATTTGTGACTTAGTTCCTTTGAGGATGGTTTTACAAACTTATATCTGTCTCAGATCAGACAACTGTTAATTCGTCATTTTAATCAATGATTTGTCCGTTATTTAGTTTTATTGACTTAGAATATGCCGATGACATTGTCCTATTTGGTGAAGATGCTGACAAAATGCAGTCTTCTGACTACCCTAAGCAACAATGCAAGCATGTTTGGGATGCGGTTTTCCCCCTCGAAATGCAAAATGTTGCTTCAAGACTGGGTTGCATCGGCACCTGAACTAGTGATAGGGAGTGAAGTAGTCGAGCGTGTAGACCGCTTCACTTATCTTGGGAGTCTCATCAGTGCCGATGGCTTGGTGACTGACGAAATCTCAGCTCGGATACAGAAGGCTCGATTGGCTTTTGCCAACCTGCGTCACTTATGGCGTAGGCGTGATATCCGTTCTCTAATTAAAGGACGAGTGTACTGTGCAGTAGTTCGCTCCATTCTCCTATATGGCTGTGAAACATGGCCAGTGAGAGTAGAAGATATTCGTAGGTTACTGGTTTTCGATCATAGATGTTTAAGAAGCATTGCTCGTATACCGTGGGACAACCGAGTGAGCAATGCTGTCGTTAGGAAACGAGTACTAGGTAAGGATGGGAGAGAAATCGATGAAGTGGTGAAACTTCATCAGTTGAGGTGGTTGGGACATGTGTTACGTATGCCGAACCACCGACTGCCTCGACGAGCCTTGTTTTGTAGTGTAGGAGTAGGTTGGAAGAAAGTTAGGGGCGGCCAAACCAAAACATGGCAGAAATCCATGAAGTCATTGACTAGTGGACTGAGCCATGTCGGTAATTGTCGACTACCTGGTTGGGGTCCGCGAGATGATAATAATCGATGGTTAGAGACCTTGAATGACATGGCTCAAAATCGTTCGCAATGGCGCCGGTGCATTTATTCTCTGTGTTCTCTCAAATCCTAATCTTCTGGATTCTTCAACACCTCTAGTTTCGACTCTCTAAACTTTTCTCACTGAATCATACTTCTTGAATAGTATCTTCTCATCCTAACCTCTCCGATTACTCCTAATACCGTTACTACCTCTTCTACTATTGGATTTGAATTGACGATTACTTCTCTGTGCTGATGTGGTATGGCAACATGAACTGATGTACTTATGTACAAAGTTCTACGTTGCATCTGACTGACCGTTATTTAGTTTATGAAGGATCTAGAAATCATATGGTTTTGTCTAAACTGCTTCCTCAGTATGTTCTTAACCAACGTAAATCCTTGGTGTTTGTCCATTATGACTGTATCGATAATTCCGTCTTAATATTGTTTCTGATCATTTAAAAACACTGTCAGACTCACAAGAGGTCGAATAAAGTCAAGAAAATTTCGGGAATATTCACGTATGAAAACATAATAGATTATTCTACAACAGACAATAATTAGCCTAAAACTCATTCAAAATGATAAGCTCAATAGCGGCGACAGTCAGTTCTCAACACAGATAGGCAAAATTATAAAAGATTAAAATGTGCACCGATTAGTAAGAAAAAAGTCATTTTATCACAATAGTTTTACGAACAGAGTTCAAAAAACAACCATAGGTGCTCATAAGTATTATAGTAATAGTTAGTCAGTCAGTCAGTTAGCTACAACGTAGAACTTCGTATGTACGTACATCAATTTAAGTTGCCATGCCACATTAGCACAGAAATGCAATTGTCACTTCAAATCCCATAGTAGTAGAGGAAGTAGAAGTGTTAGCAGTAATCGTAGAGATTAGGGTTCGAAGATATTATTCAAGAAGTATAATCCAGTGAAGTCACTTCAAAAAGAGGAAGATAGAGGTAATGAGCAATTCAGAAGATTAGGATTTGAGAGAACACAAAGAATGGATGCACATGCGCCATTGCAAACAATTTTGAGCCATGTCATCCTAAGTCTCTAACTATCGGTTACTGTTGTCTCTCGGACCTCAAACAGATAGTCTACACCTACTAATATGACTCAGTACACTTTTCAGTGACTTCATGGATTTGTGCCATGATTATAGTAATAATACATGGATTTTACTCTGTTGTCTATCCCATATTCTATCTCGAATACTTCAACCAAACTGTAGTTTCCCTTTCTTTTATACCTGGTTTTCTTAAAATTTTTTTCAGGAGGTATTGACTTCTTTTTCAGTACTCGTTCACAAGCGGTCACCTTTGTGAATTTTCTCTCCAAACGTTCCCCTTGCCGGTAAGTAGATAATTTTGTCATTTTCTCTCTGATTTTTGAAATTCACTAGTTATTTTGATTTTGAAATTCATATATATAAAACTTGATCCATTGGTTTTAGAGTTTCATTTTTTTTTGTTTTTGACAGTTAACAATCCTTACTCTCCAATCATTGATAATATAAATTAATCTATTTCCTATTTATTGCAATCTGTTCGACCTATAGACTGAATTCTTCATCCATGTTTCCGGAGATTAGATAGTTTCTTGTGATTTTAATGCTTAAAAGTGATTATAAAAACATGACATAACGTAATATTAATTGATATTCCTGTTTACATTGTCTGGCTTAAAACAGACTCTTATCTCAAATAAATGCAATTAGAAGTTTTCTGAATGCTGAAAATAAGTTTTAGTAAAATTAATTTCCTACCTGACTACAGTATAGTAAATAATCTTTGAAATTCCTTACTGGAGTAGTAAATCTGTAATCATAGCATACATATTGACTAAAAGTCCACGAGCTATAAGTCTAGATTCATGTAAACATTAGGTTTAAAAAGTGTCGTCAAATTACTGAAAATAACATTATCATAAGGGAGAAAAAGGATAAATTTGGTATCAAGTGTCTTTTGCATACAGTGATAAGTAACCAATGCTATGACTGGTGATGAAATCACAGTTAAGTGTTTCATCTTGTTAATGGTTTATCAAATAGATGTACACTAACACAGTACATCGTGATTTTTAATAGTTTTTACTTTAACATTAGCTTCATGATATTTACTACTGATTAATCACGAAGTAGTGATCAGTTGAATGTCATGTTTGTTTAATTTTTTAGCTCTGACTAAATCCTGTTGATGAATTCAAAATGTACTCAGTAGTCTAAATGATTTCACATCGTGTGTAGCATGCTGAGAGCCTATGTAGTTAGATGTAGTTGATAAGAGACACTGGACTTGGGTTTCGTGCTATGTGGCACTTGTCAACCTTACTGTGTCTAGTTAGTGAACAAGTAATTTTCCAGAGTTCTATGTAATGTATTCCGTTTATCCATTTGTTTGTGGTTTGATTTCCCAGATATTCGTTTGGTTAAATGATTTATCTGTAAATATAAGTCTAATGAAGTCATTATTTATGACAAAAAGCTCCTGAAGTATGCTCTGAAACAATTGATTTCTTGAAGTTTTTGATTATAAAAATGATAATATTGTTAGTTTGTCTGACTGTGAAGCTCCGTAGACACTTGAAAATTTAATTCACAACTTCCGGATTACGAGTTTGAACTTCAGTTCACTTCAGTTCCACTTGGAGATCTGATAGGTTTTTTTCATAAGTTGGTATTGTTCACATCCCTTTATGTATTACCAAAACACTCTGCTAGCTCTTATTTATTTACATCTGTGTTTAATTTATTTTCAGCTGTCAAACTGCACAACATTTAAAATCTCATGATGTAAATAATAATACTTACAATTATAAATATACATTTTCTCTGGAGATTGCACCAGTTTGTAAGGTTAGTGTAACATAGATATCTTTTCAGCAACTAAGTTTGTAGTTGATTTCTATTGCTCCTTTGAATTAGCCTATATTTTTTAAAATTTAACTGTTGAACTGCTCTACATCGGCATTAGTTCACTAACAAAGCTTATTTCATTATTTTCTAATAATTTAGGTCTGAGTTTATCTCATTTTGTTCAAAACTGCACCACTTATATTTATATTGTAATAGCAACTTTATATGGTTAATTTTTTTCTATTGTGGTATTTTTTGTAAAATGTTGGTTACGCATTCCGTATAGATCAGGTAACTCTCAATGCCCGTATCCCACTTAATACTCGCGTGATCTTGTTTGTTGCAATTAAATTTCTTGAATTTTCCATACGTTCTAATAAACTAAAGGGATAAGTAATACAAATCAAGTTGAATTTCTCGATAAGGCGTATAAAAGTTATTTTTTTATTTTGTATATGCGAGAAATTAGCAATTATTTGAATCTGAGTAATAATAATAGTATTAATAATAATAATAATAATAATAATAATAATAATGGGAAGATTTTTAGTTTCAATACTCATCATAGTAAGTATAACCACACTTTTAATATAGTCATTAACAAAGTATCTTTTATCCTTACCCCGTGGTATCACTGTTCCGATTTCATCATTTAACTTTTACCAGTAACTTGACAAAACAATCAAATCAGAATTGCTAATAAGGAGCTAATTTATTGTAAAACAAGTCATATTTGAGTCTATATATCTTTTTTTTTAAAAATACGCTGCGATCTTTCGCCATTTTCTAAAAATTATCTCAACGTTTACTTTTTCTCTTTTTAAGAATGACATAGTTTGTTTATCTCGAGCTCAGTCACAAAAATTGGGTGGTATAAATCAATTGTGCGTTGTTAGCAAAGTTACCGATGCTATACACCTGATTGATCCTTTTACATGTCAAGGTAAGTTGTCTGTTGTTCCATCTTTATTCACTGTGTGGGTGATTACTTTTTCTCTTTTCATTTTTTTCAGCCCATTTTATGTTATTGTATGTTAGTATGCGGTTTATTTTTGCCAACTATCAACGTCTGTAATTATACAGATTTTAACAATAGTAGAAAGAGTTTTAGATAAGAGGAGTCTTCCTGTGTGTTTGATATCATTATAAATGTTCATCTGACTTCAAAAGACTAAATATGCAATATTTTAACAAATTTTACTTCCGGTCTATTGACTTATCTTTGTCGTTTCACATCAAATTCCAAAAGTTTAGACAATTCAACAAATTTTCTGTTAAAATTATTTACGGACACAAACTTGGGCAGTCAAAAAGCGCACAAATATCCAGTCTGTGAGGTGTGATTGATAAAGTTAATGTTTATCATTGTATGAAGGAAAATTTGACTGGCATTTCAAAAATAATACACCTGAAATCATTCAAAGCGTCTCATGTTTTGTAAGGAAAAGGTAGAAGAAGTCTTAGTTTCTTTTTGCTTAAATAACAAAAATGAACCAAAATTTACTAGAATATAGTATAATTCGTTCTTTTTAATCTCTCTGTCTCAACAATCCGGGTTATCTTCTTTTATTTCGTGTCACTCTTTGGTATTTTGAATGTAAAAACAAATCTACTTAGCTATTGAACATAATTAGTTGTTTTCAAATTGCTATTTTTTAAAGTATTTTTGTAAAATGTGACCGATTTATGCGTTTGTCTGTCTAATTATTGGGTTTTCAGTTGATCTTTTCTGAATTTCATTGCATATTGTGCTAGGCAGTGAATAATTCTGTTACGCCTGCACGTTAAAACGTCATTTTGATATGCTTGAACTATTGCGAGTTTACCTAGTCGGAAAACAAGAGCGAGGATTGAGGATCCGGCGACACGACATGGTACTCAAATCCGATTATCCTAACCCCCATATTGAGTAAAATAAGAAGACTTGATATGAAGTAGAACCTCTATTCGACAAGCATCCAGAAAGTACAAGGTCCGAGTCCAGAAGAGAATCAGGATCCCAGAATAGGGATCCGGGATCGGGTCCTGATCACAAAACGTTACAGATATTGCGTATTTATACATTTTGGTCGAATAAGAAACAGCATCGAAGTCTGTGACATTGACAGTTAAGACGACCAATTGGAAGCAACATTTGAAGTGACATTGATAGTCAGGACCACCGATAAGAAACAACATTGGAGCACGTGACATTAATATCTAGGACGACCATAAAATTGACCAGTAGGAATTAACCAATAGGAATTGACCAATAATTGTCTTAGGATATTGGATGAATATCCTAACAAATTCGGTGTATGTTGTACATTCTACGATCAACTGTTGTTAATAATCTCACCAAATGATCTACTTTTCGATAACTAATTACGTCAAATGTTAAATTGTTATTCTTCTCCAAACGTTTCTCACCGTAGATGATATAACATAAGGGAATACCAACTAAATCTTATGAATCGGTAACCGATTTTTTGTTAACTACTAACTGATGAACTAAAATTGGTTCATTCAACTAAATTCGTTGAATTGTATTTTGAAATTATTTCGCGCTAATATTTTATATGTGATTTACTTTCTTTTAGTTTGCTATGTAGACAGTAAGGCTTATTTTGCATCGCCATTCATGTCAATTACAACACAAAAACATCTTTCATCATTTGTTGTACTTGAAATTGAAGAACAAAGAGATGATTGTAGCCAAATGGGCTCTTCTAGAAAATCATATACTACATCAAGTACTTCATATCCAGTTGGTGCTAAATTGTCTAAAAAGCATTCACCAGTCTCTGTATGGGTAATGAAAGATCCAACTAACGAAACAGGTGCAATTCAACTTGATAATGAATCTGACAGTGGTATGATTCATACTAGATCACATCTTGGTCGCATTTTACATCCTGGAGACAAAGTACTTGGGTAAGTTTTGAAAATCTAATAATTTGATAACTTCACATTAATTACTATCGTTTTAGGATGTATTTTTATTATTACACAACATATCTATAGGGTATATGACTTTGTTTTTCCATTTTGGTGTGTAATAATCGTAACACTTAATATTTTATGTAGATTTTCAATTTACTCACCCTATTGCGTCAAAAACATAGCCTAGAAACTCTACAAAACTACTTAATCATATCTTATTTAAAAAAGAGATTAAAGTGTATCGTAATTCAGTGCTTCAGTGTGATTCGTAAGACAGCGTGTAGTAATAGTTGACTGATCCGATCCTCCTGCAGTCAAAATACTAATCAAGATTCGATTTTGCTAAATAGTTCTATTCACAAGCTGACTGTTTTAACTTCGATCACATTTTGGTGAGAACACTCATGTCTGATTCTTTAACTGGACGTAGAAATATCACAGCAGGGGTACCCCTTAGATACCAATCAGAAGATGAAATAGTCAATCATGTATTCAGAGATAAGTGCCTAGTTAATCGCAGAGAATCAGTACATCCTAAAGAAGTTTGTAATGATATCCAAACAACTTTAAATGCAACAAGGACATTCACCTACAACTCAAGCCAAAAGATTACGAAATGCATCTGAATTATTAGATGCTGGAAAATTCATCTTAATCGACTTGGAGGACTATAAAAAGTGACAAAAATCCAAACATTTGCTAATAGTCTTTCTATAATAACCATTACTGATGGCGGATTACGGAAGTAAAATAGGTGAAAAAGGCGGCGGTGATTACACTAAAAAACTATTCTGACTTATCAGGAAAACAGGTATTAAGAAGCTAGCTGTCAGTGAGACTGTTTCGGAAGAAAATATAACCACTATTGATCCTCAGCCTAGGGGATTAGATGGGTGAGCAAAACAGTTCAACTGTCAAAAGGACATCAGTGAGAGATCGATACACATTCTCCAACTCTTGGTGAGGTTAAAAATACTATATCTACCATGAAGGGAGAATAAGCGACAGACCCTAATGTATCGACCTCTGAGATCTTTCAGCTATTAAATCGAAAGAAATATTGGCTAGCGTTTAGCAACTGAACACAATCTTGTCTAACCTTTCTGGATTACTGACTGTTCTAGTTTATGAGCAAGAACAGAAACTTGTACTTGCCACAGAGGAATTAGTTTAAATAATGTCGTATCTAAAGTATTAACCTCTTCAGACATCCGATGCTTATCTGCTGCTGCATGGCAGGAAACCAGACTGGTTCCAGACCTAAGCATGGATATATTGAACAAACATCTGTTCGGCACTTATCATGTTTTGATCTTATTAACTGCTAACGGTGAATGTTAACCCGAATGATTTTCAGTAACTCATGTTTGTTAAGCAGTAAATAAAATTGCTTTGGTATACATAAATTTTTACATGACAATGATATGATATCTTCAGGTTAGACCTCAGAAATTGTAATATAAACAATACAGAATTTGAAAAACTTCCAGAAGATAAAATTCCTGACATTATACTAGTTTTACGACCTAGTCAGTCGAAGAATACAGCTGGAGAGAAAAACAATGGACCAAGTAAACATAAACGCATTCGAAAGCATTCATTGACTACGGCAGATTCTGAATGCGATACCTCTTCCCAGGTAGTGTGTACAAACTCTTCATCATCTGAAGATGACTATGTATCATTTGACGAGGAGGATGAGGATGCGACACTTGAATTTCCAATTATGGATGTTAATTTTGAAGGTGAGTATTTTGTAAAAATTTTGCAAAATTATTTGTTGTCTTATTAGTTTATACAGATGATAATAATCTGTTAAGTGACAAGAGAGCTCGGACTTGATACATGTAAATAATTTTGTTTATAATGTTATGTTAGAAAAAGTGTTATAAACTAGTTTTTATGTATCCTCTTAGTATATTTTACATATGTAGATTAGAGGCATACATAATAAACTTTCGATTGTTGTGTAATATGCTCATTCATTACACTTATTATTAACATTCACATAAGTCAAGTTCGATGGCTAACAGTTGAAAATTAGGTAAATGTACTAAAAACATCTATGGATCTTAAACTGAGGTTGAACTTATTTGTATGTAATTTTAAATTCAATAATGAGGAACTCTTGAAGTATTCTACTATCGTGTTTAGTATTCAGAACCAGGTGAAATACCATAATCAATCTATTATAACCTTGTATCTGTCAGTCAGTCAAACTCAGCGTAGAACTGGGCATATGTACACATTAGTTTAAGTTGCCCCATCTCATTAGCACAGCGAAATACAATAAGTCAAGGTAAATCCCAGAATTGTAAAGACATTAACAGTTTTAATGATCATCGGAAAGATTAGATATCACAGATACAGTTCAGGAAGAAGATATGATTTAACCGAACAAAATACTAGTAAAAGGTAGTTTAAAAACTTGGGATCGAAGAATAAACAAAGAGTGAATGCACCTACTCCATGTTGAACTGTTTTGAACGATGTCATCTGAAATCCTTAATCATTGGTTATGATAATCATACGAACTCAAAACAGGTAGTCTGGACCTGCCTATATGACTCAGTATTTTCACCCCTAGTTTTCTTCTAACGAATTACACCAGTCGAGAAAGTCGGTAATACATCATTGTGGCATGTTATACATGTTCTCATCATTTTAGTCAATAGAGTTTGACTAACTCGTCAATCTACTCTCAGAAATGATAGATTTCACATAAATTGAATAAGTGACATTGTAAATAAAGCTTCTGATGTATCTTACAATTCAACTGTCCATCAGTACAATAATTTCATGTCTCATATGCAACAATAACAATCTAAAATGTTTTAATGTAGTAGACAAGTTGTTGTAAAAATTTCTTCTGTTATTTATACAAATTTATCTATTCATTTTATTGTTAATGGTGTACATTTGTAATATCTGCTAGCATTTCTTTTTTCTTCTACCTTTTCACAGATGCCAATGAAGAAGTATTAATAAAATAGCAATGATTTAAATGAAATACAACAAAATAACTAAATTCTCAGTGTTTTAACAATGAACTATTGTATTTACTTTGTTCTTTTTCTATCGATATTACTTTCGAATAATTTCTCTCGTAAATATAGATGCTTATTTACAACAACAAAGCAATCAATTAACTTATCTCTTTTTTGTTGTTTAGATCAAATAATTGCTAGTGTTTGTTTCGATTTCACTTGTATTGAACATCGTCGTTGTTTTCTTTTTTAGGTTTAGGATAATGCTATTACAAATTTTGTATTTAAATTAAGTATTCGAAAATTACATCAACTTATTCACTACCCTAAGCAAGAATATGCAAGCATGTTCGGGATGCGGTTGTCCCCCTCCAAATGCAAACTGTTGCTTCAGGATTGGCTTGTATCGGCACCTGAACTAGTGATAGGGAGTGAAGTAGTTGAGCGTGTCGACCTCCTCACTTATCTTGGGAGTCTCATCAGTGCTGATGACATGGTGTGTAACGAAATCTCAGCACGGATACAGAGAGCTCAACTGGGTTTTTCAACCTGTATCATTTATGGCGTAGGCGAGATATCCGTTTGCTAACCAAAGAACGAGTGTACTGCGCGGTAGTTCGCTCTGTCCTACTATATGGATTTCGAAACATAGCCGGTAAGAGCAGAAGACATTCGCACGTTATTAGTATTCGTTTGTAGATGTCTTCGAATCATTGCTCGTACATCCTGGGACAACCAAGTAAGCAATGCTATAAGTTAGGTATCGAGTACTAGGTAGGGATGGCGAATCAGTAGATAAAGTAGTGAAACTCCATCATTCGAGGTGGTTAGTACATGTGTTACGAATGCCTAACTACCGACTGCTTCGACGAGCTATGCTTTGTGGTATAGGAATAGGTTGGAAGAAAGCTAGGGGCGGCCAAACCAAAAAATGGCAGAAATCCATAAGGTCGCTGACAAGTGGACTGAGTCATGTTGATAGACGTAGGCTACCTGGTTGGGGTCCGCGAGACAAAAGTCACCGATGGTTAGAGACCTTGAACAAAATGGCTGAAAATCGTTTGCAATGGTGCAGGTGCATCCACTCTTTGTGTTTTATGAAATTCTAATCTTCAGAATTCATCATCTCTATCATTCTATTTCTAAAGTAATCTCACTGAACTATACTTCTTGAATAATATCTTCGATCCCTAATATTCTCCATCACCGCTTATTCTTCTACTATCGCTACCACTATGTGATTTGAACTGACAGTTGCGTCTGTGTGTTAATGTCGTATGGCAACCTGAACTTATGTACGTACGTACAGGGTTCTACGTTGTAACTGACTGACTCAACTTATTCACTCTTTAACATCTGATACATTAATTTGAATGAGACTGTATTCAGAAAATAAGCATAGCTTATATTTCCCAAAGTAGACAACATTACCACCTGTCCTATGCATAGTATGGTCATTTAACTATTTGAAAATTATCTGATCACGATCGACAGCTATTAAATTATAAGTAGGCAAATATCATGAATAAAATCTTATTGATAACAACCAAATTGATGCTGTCAGCTGTTCAACAAAGTTTATTAAGTTGAATGATTAAAGTAGATCAAACTCGCCAAAGGTTATTTGCTTGATCTTTAAATCCAGCAGTTAAAATTGACTCCTAGCAAATGACTTTTACGCAGAAATTTCCGATTTTCAAGATTATTGATTAGCTGACTGTCCGTCTATTCATGCCTTTATTATTCTTTCTTATAAGACAACTGGTCACTAGCTGTATACAGACAATGACATGCTATTATTTGTTGGGGATGTTAGATCCCCAAAACTCGCTTGTTAAATGCCTTATTTCGGATTCTACGTTTGCCAGCATGGGCTGATCAGTCGACCTTGAGATTTCAATTCCCACCAGGAAAATCCATGGCTGTGATTGGCTGCTGTGTATTCTAGTGTGCTATTTTCTTAACTGTCCCAAGGACGTGTCTATGATGTATAAATAAACGAGAGTTGTGTGCTTGACAGTAGTGTGATTGCTGGGTGTTTATAGAATATACTTCCTACGCTTACAAAGCCTTCTTACTTTATTTGGGGATTCAAGGTAGCCTACCTGGACGCTGGTAAAAGTCTCGTTCGCATTTATCGACTAAGGTAAACTCGTAATAGCCTCAAGCATACTTAGTGACGAACCGAATACATTATAGCCAGATATTTAACTTTCTGACTCTTATTTTTTTACTATATTGATGATGCTTAACAGTTGTTATAAGTCTCTAGATCAGAAGAAATATTTAATGTTTCCTAGTTGCAAGTAGTCTCTTAGCCAATATTAGTCTACGTTTGTATATTTGTATAATATCGTGACCTATTCAGTTTAATGGATAGAATTATTATGATAGCTAAATTTTCCACATGAGGTTGAGATTGACAGAAACGGTTTTTAGGTATATCACTACTATAAGTCTTCTCTCAATTCACAAAAACTCATCACCATTGGATATTCAGTGTTATAGGCAAACACAACATGAAAGCCCTCATGATTTTACTATTGCTTATTATTGCAACGGACTGGTTATTAAATAAGGTATACCTTTGACGGACAAATAGGCGTTAGATTATCTCATCAGTACCCAAGGTTTAGTTATGTCAACCGAGGCACATCATTTGTTAAGTGACCGATTTTGATCAGTGCATTCCATGGGTTATCGATTAAGTAAATGTGGGTTTAGCCAACGTAATAATTCACCTATTACTTAAATGCTTTTTCATTCTTCAGAATGTCCGTAACAAAGCAGTAATTATGGTGACTAGTTGTGTATAGTGTCAGAGATATTTCTTGTTTAATTGAATTCATTACAAGTTATCTCGTCTATTAAAGTATTCTTGGCGCTTATGTATTATGCTAATCTCTAAAGTATCCTTCTTGCAACAATACTCATTTTTATGCCTTATTCTATATGTGAATTCGTTTATTTGTATCTGAAGGAATATGGTATTATTATTGCTTATAAAATTATACAACGCAATCAAGATATTGTTACTCCTGGACTGTATTTTGTAATCGTTAGGTTTAGCTTTTACTAACCTCATGTGACAAGACTGTGTATTGTATGATAATAACACTAGCAACAAACCATAGATTCATGCACTCATGAGTATGGCATTAGTGATAGTACTGGGTTTACTAACTTATGCCTGAAATTCGAATGTCTAAGCTAGCATTCCTACTCTTGATTTAAAATATGATCAAGGAAAACTACCAACAATTTGTGTTAAGCCTATAAGGCAGAATAATCAGCGTTTAAGAAATGTGAGTACTATGGAAATTCGAACTAGCTACCTTCACATTATTGATTAAATTATCTGATAATTAAGCTACTTAATTCAATCTGTTAATCCAAGTCTCAACTACACTAAATATTTATAGAATAATAAATTAATGTACATAACAATAGAAGAGGCAGAATTTATTTAGATGTATTTGAACAACCCTTATTAATAACAATTAAAAAAATAGAGATATGCAAATTAGAAGACTGAAAATTCATCAACAATCACGACTGATTTACGTTTGACTGACGTTTAGAATAATGCGCCATATTTTTTATTCACACAGGGCAAAATAGTTTGTTTAAATCAATGAAGTATCTACTTACTAATTAAATTCGGGACATTTTCAAGAAATTCGTCGGCAAAATTACCCGGTGGATCATATCTACCAACAACATAAATACTATGACGATCTTTTGAAAAAGCTCTGCCGAATCCAGCTGTTGTAGTCGACTTCCATATCACTTGTGTAAAATGTCCTTTTTAAACAAAAGATGTTTCAAAAGTAAGTGAATAGTTAGTGAAAAATACTCAAAATTCAAGACTCGACAATTTGAAAATCATACTCTTTGGTTGGGAGATTTCTACAAACGTAACTTTACCTTATTTCAATTTTCGCTAATGTTTTTGGTTACCACTCGTACATTCTTATTTCATTCAAATGTAAATGATTAGCTTAACTCAAAACGCAAATAGTGTACCCCAGTTACAACTATTATAGTTCAGAGTGGTTGGTACACAATCTAGGGTATTCTATAAATCAGCTTACCTCTTCTGTCCTAACATCAACTAAAAAACTATATAGATTATCATCCAAAATTAAATTTATTCTGTACATTTACTTCAGCTACCAATTTGTAATCCTTGTTTTTGCCTGCTAGAACCATTTTTTTTACTTAATTTTATGATATTCCTTACTTAAGCCAACAAACTGAGGCTTCGACAACTAAATGACATTGATACTCAAATGTATCCACTGTCTTCATGTCGTTTATTCATTTAAATATGTATACATGTATATAATTTTCAGCTGGGGTAATTTGAGTCTCGTCCACTGAAAATACTATTGTGAATGGGTTGTTTTAGGAAACGATTTCCCCTACCTATAATATGACTAACCTGAATTCGAGCATGCAAATGAAAACGAGAGGTGTACAGACTGATCACTTTGATCATTAACTCAAGAAAGCTACCAACATTATAATCCAGAGAGACCTGAACAGTAATTCTCATGTAACTAGCCTACAACCCTACAGTATATATCTGTCAATCATCACTGTTTAAATATTGAATTAGAATATCACATTTAACTACTGAAGAAATTATCAATAGTGTATATATGTATATAGCAATTCACAAATTTATAATCAGTAAACTTACCACAAGGAAATTGATTTTCTTTCTTGAAATCATAGTCATCTATTTCTTGATACCATGTTTTAGTAGCATCTGCACCTAGTTGTTATTTTTAAAAAAATTCATATCAAGAAGTAAATTTCTACAACAGATTAAACATTTCAAAAGCTAGCATGAATCGGTAATATTGAATTCTAACCGATTTAACGATGATTATTTAGAAAAAAGGATATTTATACCCGAGGTAGCATCTAACTGTCACTTGATTTCAGCTGCTGAAACCTAATGACACACGTGACTCAAAATGATGCGTCATGAATAGACCAATGATTGTATTTTACACTAACCAATCAAAGCAATGATGATATAGTAATGTTAAGATTGTTTTTCTAATTTGCTCTAATCAGAAAATATTGTCTGTCATAGTGTATTGCTTTTGTGTAAGTTCACACGCGGTGACCAATGACCACTGAATTCCATGCAACTAATAAAGAACTTTTTAAATTTATTTTGTAACTAGTACCTGTATAAAATGTCTTAGCAATTTTATACATTTAAACATTTCTCTTATTGTTTAGTTCATCCGTTTTTATTACCTCACAGCAGTCTTTTTGATCTTATCAACTCACCACCTCTGAATGGTGAATTAAACTTGTCATTCTTAAATATTTTGCTTAACCGAAATTATTATTAATTTGAATTGTCTTATCAGTTTTCACTTTATATGTGTTCTTTTATTAAGTCAACATCATAACTCAGGAGTTGAAAAAACCTCCAACTAAAGTAAAAGTATTTTGATTGATTAGTGACTGACTTATTAGTTGCAATGAATGAATAATCTTGATGTGTTCGTGCACTAAGCCACTCGTTCACAACTTCGACTTCAAAACGACAAATTAGACTACTTCTGTCTTCTTCTGTTATACCTTCTAACTGAAAAGAAACTTCCACTTTGTATAAAAGCTCTGTTGATCGAATCCTTAGAATAATGAATTGACACTAAAATATATTCAGTTGTGTAGATCGACTCAATGATTCGTAATTATTTAATTTAATTTAATGTGAGTAATGCTCATTGAATAGAATAAGTCACGATGAATTAATCAATACAAGGAGAATGGCACTGAAAATCAAAATAACTTACACATAATGAACAATTTTAAACAAGTGAAAATGCATTGAAAATCAATTTAACAGAATTTCACTGTGAATAAATTACGATAATGAACATGTGTTGAAAGTTCACTTGACTGCATGAAAATCAACTTAAATCAATAAAGAAAATATTTTTACGATTGCTTTACTTCCTCATACCTAGTATTTGTCGATTCCATATTTAGAACACATTTATTCACACTTATTCTTACTTATTTTATCCAGTTTTTGTCACTTATTAAATTACACATTTTGAAACCATGAATTGATCAGTGTTAGACCATCATTAGAAACCTGGAAGCACTGGAAGGCCGTTTCGTCCTAGTATGGGACTCATCAACAGTGCGCATCCACGACTCCTGCACCCCGCAGGATTCGAACCCAGGACCTTCGGTCTTGCGCGCGAACGCCTAACCCCTAGATGACTGAGCCGGTATCTAATGGTGTTCATGTCTAATTTGATCAGTTCACGGAGTTGCGCAACTTCATACACAGTCTTCGATAGTTACTGTCTACACCCGAACAGGTTGAACTTCACTGATCACTACTTCCCACTAGAACTCAGAGAAGATTCCCCACAGAGCTAGTCACGAGTGAGCACATGCAATTACATTAAGGGGTTGTGAAGATTATTACGTTACACATTTAGGCGTTCTCACGAAACCCCGTAATGCAGCTAATTAAATTGTTTTGTTTAATTTTAATCGTATATTTTATTAATATCACATTGGTGTACATTATTGTGACTAGTTTCTCTCAGCTTAAAGAATCATGATGTTTAGTTTTTAATTTATTATGCGTTTAGTTGAATGCTTTTGATAAACTTGACGGTAAAAATTAATTTTTAAGATTAATATTCAAAAAATTGTATCGTTTGTATTACAGTGTTTCAGATTACTTCTAATGCACACTATGTATTACAGAAATTTCAAACTTATTAATTAATAGATTATCTTACTTTAAATAATTAAATTGATCATTCTTGTGTCCTTGAAGAAGAAATTGTAAACAGGAAAGAGAAACCTAACTCACTATTTAAGGACTAAGTGTGAAAATGCTCGCCCTAATGACACAGTTTACGACACATAATTTCAACTTCAACAAATACTCATCAAAGCTGGATTCTCACTTAAATTTATCAATAGGCACTCATTATCAGAATCACGACTTTAATGATCAGCGACAATTTCAAAAGAAAACTTTTTATGAATACAGAATTTAAGGATAAAACAGTTGTAGAATTTTGGAATAAATGATCTTTTTATATGCCTTATATATAAACTCAAATATTTGTCAAACAACTATCAACATGAATTTTTTTTCATGTCGATCGACTGGATTATGAAGATGTCAAAATCTAGAGGAAATCACGGTACCAAATAGACATATGGAATGCAACTGGACGATCGGGACTTCGCAGATGACACATTTCTTCTATCGCACACGCAACAACAAATGCAAGAGAAGACGACCAGTGTAGCAACAGCCTCAGCAGCAGCAGGTCTCAACACACATAAAGGGAAAAGCGAAATTCTCCGATACAGCACCACACGCACCAACCAAATCACGCTTGATGGAGATGTCTTGGAGGACTTTAAAACCTTTACATATATGGACAACATCATCGACAATCAAGGAGGATTCGATGCACATGTAAAGGCACGGATTGGAAAAGCAAGTGCTGCATTTCTACAGTTGAACAAAATCTCGAACTCAAAACAACTGTCGAAAAACATCAAAATCAGAATTTCCAATACACATATCAAGACAGTCCTACTGAATGGACTGGAAACTCGGAGAACTGCGAAAGCCATCATCCAGAAGATGCAAGTGTTTATTAACAGTTGTTTACGCAAATTACTTCGTATTCGCTGGCCAGACACGATCAGCAACAACGTACTGTGGGAGAGAACAAACCAGATTCCAGTGAAGGAGGAAATCAGGAAGAAGCGATGGAAGTGAATAGGACACACTACGAAAAGCACCTAACTGCTTTACAAGACAAGCCCTTATTTGGAAATCTCAAGGTAAAAGGAAAAGAGGAAGGCCAAGGAACATATTACGCCGAGAAATACAGAAAGACATGAGAAGAATGAACGAAAATTGGATAGAATTGGAAAGGGAAGCCCAGGACAGAGTTAGTTGAAGAAAACTGGTGGGCGGCCTATGCTCCATCGGGGGTAACAGGCGAAAGTAATTAAGTAAGTATCAGCATGAATGAGTGTACAGCCTAAGCAAATAATTTCGTTTGAAAAATAATTTTCTTTGAATCCTCTTTATAATTATCTTAATTTTAAAAGTTGAAGAATTACAATTGTCTACCAATCTATTTCTTATTTAAGCTGATGTCGTAAAACTCAGAAAACTCATTAACCCTTGAAAATAATTATTTGTACATTTTTATTGGAGCTGTGACCATGATATTTGTTAAAATACTGTGATTCTCCTCATTGTTTATCATTGATTTTTATGAATGAAACAAAATTTGTTGATTTATGTTAGGCATTAAATATGGAAATGTCTTATTCAAAGTTTATTGATTTCACTGAATTCAAGAATGAGCCACAAGTAACTCCAGTGCCACTACATAAAAGATGCACAATATCATTAACTGACTTCAAATTCGAAAAAAATGAACTTTTATGTTCCGACTCACAGGTCTACTGATAATACTGTTCTACAAAAGCCTGAAGTTCTTTTCTAGATTTAAGTCCCTGGAGAGATTTTGAGTGGTCACTACTTTAGCTTCTAAAATAGTCTTCAGTAGTCATTTAAATGAAGCGATATTTTGGTGTGAACTGTCTTGACATTTTAATTAGTAAGAATTGACCAATAGAGAAATATGATTTCAATCAGTTGGTTATATTGAAAGATCACTCATTTCTTGTGTAGGAAGACTATCTCACATTTGATACAGTTGAATTCCTCTAGTCACACTAATAGGTCAGAGGTCTTAGATTTGGATTCTGTTGGGTCGAGGGCATGTCCTATACCATGAACAAAATAGCTGTTCTATTAATTATTGGCTCTTAATGGTCATCTCATTATGGTCAGTTCATAGCTTAAATAGCCTATAAATATTATTATTTTCTTTACGCTGACTAATATTTATGTAAAACTTCTGTTCATACTTCTCTTTGTTTCTCTATACTTCAGAGCTTTAGTGTAGGAGAATTCCGGAGATTTAGGAAGCGGTAAAAACGTGATTATTAAGCCTTTTAATATCAGATTTATCACTTTTAATTGTATTTGAAGTTAACAGATTTTCTAACTGTATTAATAATTTAACTGAGAGTTATTCAAAATGAAATCCTAATTACATTATGTTCAAGAACAAAACACAAAGTTGAAGATTATCAAATGAACATGTTTCTTTAAGTTTCGCTAATATTCGGAGAGTTGATGACCAATGCTATCTAAAGCATTTACAATGTCATATATTGATAATGTTGCTTAAAAGGACAAAGAAATCTCCACAACCAAAACATCCAGCTCAGAGAATAGAAACTGCATCACAATCAATCACCTGAACTACAAATTTCCTCCATCATCTCAACTGTACGATTTCAAATAAATTGAACATTATTAACAATCAAAACAATGATTTATTCATGATTTGAAGAAGTGATTTGAATTTAATCATAAAATGTTATTCTCTATTAAATAAGAGATACTCTAAAAAATATCATTAAATTTTATGATCAACTTTTAACTAGTTTTGGTCAGTTGCAACAAAACTTTTCAAGTCATGGTCAATTTAGGTTGGGATGTTTTTCTATGATAAACCACCACTAACCACTACCATCATTAGCTCGTGTATATCGTATAAATAGTCATATTTATCAAGTGTCTTTTTCCAGCTTCATTTCTTACTTTGTATTAAAAACGATTCATAGATAAATGAAAACGTAGCTTATTTCACAAAATTAACTAAGATGGTTTTTGATAGGACTTGCTAGACATTTTTTAAAAATATCAGCAACAACAACTCTTTATGTGTTGAAATTTACTAAATTTTCTTTAATCAGATAGATCCAACATTGAAATACCATTCAGTTACATTAAACTTTGTAATATAAGTAGATCTTTAATTTCAGTGAAGCAATTTATATGTTATATTTATAGGCTATAAGTTCTAATAAATGTAAATATATTTTTATCATACATTAAGGGATGTTTCAGCAAATCTCAATTGTTTCATTATTTCTTTGAAATCTTATATCAAAATTCAGTTGATTAGACGTTATACTGTTGGTGTGATTAAGTATCTAAGAATTTTATTTTTAGCCACATAAATACTACAGTAAATGTTTCCTGTTTTAAACATGTTTTAACAAAATAATGACCAATATATGTATTGTATGTAAATACGCACTTCTATAAACAGTGTACAACATACCATAAATCGAAATATGACAATAATGCTAGAATTTCCGCCTCATTAGTTCTTTGACGAAACAATAGATGGTCTCGACAGAATTCATGTATCAGTAATGTAATGTAATGAAAGAAGAGTTAAATGGAAGAGGCTGGTGAAAAATGTTTGCGAATAAAAATGGATTGTTGTTTAAAAAAATTGCACATATTTTTTTGTTCAAATTAAACGAGTTTAAGACAGGAGTTCATGGAATCATTAATTAACTCTAATTGAACATTGAATGAAACTATTAATTATTACATAAAATATGAAGATATTCATGTTTATATATATATATGTGTATATGGCTTTTTTTTTATCTTTAGTGAATATTCAATTAAATATATGCATTGTTTAGAATTATCAAGTAATTTATTTACCTGTGAAATCTTTTTTCTGAGCAACTCTATTAGTTGTAAAATAAGCTAAATTCTCGCCTGAATCAGTATCTGTACAATGTTCAAGTTCATTAACACTTGCCAAATATTCTGCATATAATTGTGCAGCTATAGCTAATGTCTGATCAAGAATTAATTTCGGACATCCATGTAATGCTCGTAAACTATATAATAAAAAAGAATGGTATTTTAACGTTGATTGTGAAAGTAACAAATTAGTAAACAATCAACTTGTTGGTATACCAAAAGATAACATAAGACTAACTAACAAATATTCAAATATAAAGAAACCAGAACAACAGCTGAGTAGAAAATTATGGAACACTTCATAGTTTTGCTATATATTCAATATTTTTCTGTTTCACTTGTTGTTCTGGATTTATTCAAGTTGGTAAAGTGATCTACTTGCATAAAATCCTTTTTATAAGACCTGACCAGTGTAGCTTAACTCTGATCGGGTGTAGCCAGTAACTATCTTAGATTGATCAGGTTTAGACATTAGCACCGTTGGATGCCGGCTCAGAGGTTTAGAGGTCAAGCGTTCGTGCGTAGGACTGGAGGTCCTGGGTTCGATTGCTGTGGGCAGGGGTCATGGGTGCGTACTATAATTGAATCCTATAGTAGGATGAAACGGCCGTCCAGTGCTGCCAGATTTCTAATGGTGGTCTAACAGTGATTTATTCATGGTTTCAAAATAAAACGACGATCGCCATAATACTCTAATTCAAAATAATATTAAAGACATTTTAAATAATTTCAGCAGATACAAATAAATTACTCATTTTAGATCAATGACACCATTCAGTTGTATTAACAGATGTCAACAGCCATTCCTGTAACATCCATCGAAGCGGAAATATGCCCACAACAAGTTTATCCACCCAACATTTTTGGTATATCATAGAAGCTGATATATTTATGCTCATCTGTAGTATGGCTGAGCATGTCATCATTCATTGCAGTAAGCTTTTGTAGAAGTTTGCTCAACTCAAAGATCATTTGCCTGGGTTTGCTGTACCTAAATTAACAGTAAATTAACGCTCTAGTCATTTACAACAACTCCATTGTTTCCTTAAAATTCAAGTTTGGTGTAGTAATCAGGATCTAAAATTTTTTTTAAATGTTAGTATTAACAAGCATCCTGTGGTAAAACCTAATAAATTTTAAATGATTAAAACCTTCAAGGATGTTTGTTTAATCTAAAAATTCAGTAATTATTTATGTAAATAAAAGATTCTATACAATAAACTTAACAAATATTCTACATTATTTATATATTTTTAAGAAATAAATTCAACTTCGAAGTAATCATTTTAGTAATCTAAAACAATTAAAAAAGTTGTCAAGTTAAAAATGTTTTAAAAGTGAACAAGAAATTTATCAGGAGCAAATAATGTAGACTGTGTACTAAGAATTTTTAAATAAAAGCTCTAATGTAAATATTTTAATTTGTTGAATATTGTACGTTGATTCAACTAAAACTAAACAGATGTATTTATTTACAGAGTAGAAATATACCATAAATAATTTTATTGAACTGAATTCAGTTCATTAGTCTGCCACTTTGTAATCTATATATGAAAATTTTTTACTGTATGTATAAAAAAATAGAGAGGAGAATTCGAAATAAATTTCAGATTTATTATGACTAGTATCTTTTGTTAAATGACGAATTTTCACAAAAACTCCCGTAATAGTTCAGAAGAAATTTACCTCTAACCAGTATTTTAATATTCTTACTTTTTTTTACTTACGCCTGTCGCCCTCAATGTAGTTAGCATAGGTCGCCGACCAGTCTTCTCCAGCCTACTCTGACCTAGGCTACCCTCTCCAATTCTGTCCGATTTTTGTTCATTCTTCTCATATCTTTCTCTATTTCTCGACGTAATGTTTTCTTTGGTCTTCGTCTTTTCCTTTTGCCTTGAGGGTTCTAAGTGAGGGCTTGTCTTGTGACGCAGTTAGGTGCCTTCCTCAGTGTGTGTCCTATTCACTTCCACCGCTTCTTCCTGATTTCCTCCTCCACTGAAATCTGGTTAGTCCTTTCTTACAGTAGATTCTTGCTGATCGTGTCTGACCAACGGATCTAAGGTATTTAATGTAGACAACTAGTAATGAATACTTGTATCTTCTGGATGATGGCTTTCGTAGTTTTCTGAGATTCCAGTCCATTCAGTAGGACTGTCTTGATATTTGTATTGGAATTTCTGATTTCGGTGTTTTTCGACAGTTGTTTTGAGTTCTAGATGTTGTTCGATTGTAGAAATGCAGCACTTGCTTTTCCAATCCGTGCCTTTACATATGCATCGAATCCTCCTTGATTGTCGATGATGTTGTCCATATATGTAAAGGTTTTAACGTCCTCCAAGACATCTCCATCAAGCGTGATTTGGTTGGTGCGTGTGGTGCTGTATCGGAGAATTTCGCTTTTCCCTTTGTGTATGTTGAGACCAACTGCTGCAGAGGCTGTTGCTACATTGGTCGTCTTCTCTTGAATTTGTTGTTGCCATAGAAGAAATGTGTCATCTGCGAAGTCCAGATAGTCCAGCTGCATCCTATATGTCTATTTGATACCTTGCTTTCCTCCAGATGTCGACGTCTTCATAATCCAGTCGATCACCAGGAGAAAGAGAAAGGGTGAGCAACCTTGCCTGACACCGGTGTCCACCTTAGGTGAGTCTGTGAGCTGTCCCGCATGTACGATTTCGTGGTTTAATCCATCATAAGAATTTCGTATGATGTTGACTATCTTCTCAGGCATGCCTCCATAGTGTTATCCTGTCCATTCTATCAAATGCTTTCTGGTAGTCAATGAAATTGAAATGGACTGGTGAGTTCCATTCAGTTGTTTGTTCCACAATGATTCGTATTCAGACAGCTATTAAAGTGTTTCTTCAGATAAGGTCATTTTTAAGTAAACTTAATGTACTCACCTAGATATAAAACAAAAAAGATTGGTTCAGCAAAGAGTTATTTTTCTCGGCGAATTCATTTTTAAAGCTTACGATGGTAAATTTATACCCCTTCTCAAGCTGATAATAATGATAATGAAAATGTTGTTAGACATGGTAATAGTTGGACAAATTAGATAAAGGTATACAATGTTATTTCGATTAAGGGAATAAGGAATAATGTTATTTTTAAGAGCTAAAATACTTATCACGAAGATTGGATAAAGAAATTGTAATCGGAAAGGTTAACTGTGATCAGATAAAATGTTCAAATTAGACTGAACTGTAATCAGCAGAATCATTCTAACAGAAACAAATCATTTCATCTACTCACGATCTTAAAATAATCAGGCGAACAGATTGAAATAAGTTAATCTTATTTCTCAACATGTCCTAAATTGAAAACAGTTAAGATTACGTGAAATTATTTTACTTTTAGACGAAATGCTATTAAACATCAAGTTCATTACATTACCGATAGTACCGAGATTTATTCCCGTTCATTTACACTATTTCCCGCGTTTAAAAGAAAAGGCAATGAGACAACATAAATTCCATGTGTTGTATTATATTTATCAGCTAGACTGATTTTTAAGTTTTGGCTTTTTCGCATGTATCCTAAAGAAAGTAGATCATATCCATAAGCTCATTGTGTCTGTAATATGAAAGAACTTAATCGGAACAAACTATTTAGATCACAACAGACTAGTATAAAAAAAATTAACATTTAAAAATAATAGGTAGTTATTAAGCCAAGGGAAATGTCCTATTATGCCTAATGTCCTGGGTATGGTAATACAGATGGCTTTGAATTTGAGCTTCAGTAGAATTACATTTAAAAGATGAAGGAATTCTAGAAGTGGACAATTACTTTCTCTCTTCGAAGTTCGATCTTTTTTCTGTTTGAAGTCAATCTCTTTTGTTTTCATCTAGTGTAGTTCTTACTGTATTTGTTTTGGTAATTCAAACATTAACATTTCTTAACCTTACTTAAATTGTAGTAAGTCATCATCGTGTTTCACTTAAATCCTAATTAATTAACTGTTCTTCACGTTGGTTATTTTTTGGACAACAATGATTCTCACATAGGACCAAATATATTCAAAGCATAGTCTCACAATAGAACTGTAAATAAATTTAGCCTATACACACATTAATTATTGCCTGATTATTGAATAATCAACTTACCGATTATGTTCAACAATACATTCTTCATTAAATTCCATATCTATATCACTCGGCATGCTGAGTGTATATGGGTGGAGATGTGAAAATAAATAAATAAATATTTATTATAATTAATAAATCTCCTTTTGAATCAAATAATTTGTGAAGATATTTCAAACTATTCTAAATAAACTTGATTTGTTGTTATTCTGAAAAAAAGACAAATACGATTGGTTGATTTAATTTAGTGGAGTAAAAATTACCAATTGATTCTCAATGAGAGTCATTTGTTAAAAAGAAATTGAAGGTCGTTAGAAATCGTTCAAATCTTTGCTAATAATATTTCTCCTTGTGATCTATATTGACTTTATACAAAATGTACTTCTTATTGTTTGTTTTTTTTAAAAAAGAAGTGAATAATTACTATTGATATTATTATTATCATTATTATATCTACAAATTGTACTTTCTTATTGTTATTGTTTACAGAAATGAATTAATCAACTACTATTCATATGTTGGTTGTCGGTTGCATGCAAGGTAGAAGCTGGAACAATAGTATGAGTAGTAGTAGTAGTAGTAGTAGTAGTAGTAGTAGTAGTAGTAGTAGTAGTAGTAGTAGTAGTAGTAGTAAAGATTAGATAGAGGAAGGTGAAGAATGTTTAAGGAGATTTCCGGACATAATATTTAAGAGGAGATAAAGGATGTATGTACCTGAACCAATGAAAACATCTCTGAGTTGCGGTATTTAAAGTCTGTGATTACTTACTAGTTACGATAATCGTGCAGACATATATATGATAGTCTGCACCTACCAACAGCGCTCAGTCCAAAAGTCATCGACTTCATGGACAAGTCACATGTCCTAGTTTCTGGCTCTTGCCTTTCTTCAAGCCTACTTTCTCACTAGCAAACTTCACAGATTATGGAAAGGAGTGATTGGGTATACGTAATACATAGCTTAGGCAAATTAGTTGACGGGATCACATTATCTCGCCAAACGATTCACCATCTGTTGGGGATGTTAGATCCCCCAAAGTCGCTTGATAAATGCCTTATTTTGGATTCTACGTTTGCCAGCATGAGCAGATCAGTTGACCTTGAGATTTCATTTCCCACCTGGAAAACTCATGGCTGTGATTGGCTGCTGTGTATTTTAGTGTGCTATTTTCGTAACTGTCCCAAGGACGTTTCTATGATATATAAATAAACGACAGTTGTGTGCTTGATTGTATTGTGATTGCTGGGTGTTTGTAGAATATACTTTTTACGCTCACCAAGACTTCTGTTTTGCAGTTTGGGATTCAAGGTAGCCTACCTGGACGCTGGTAATTGTCTTGTTCGCGTTTATCGACTAAGGTGAACTCGTAATAGCTTCAAGCGTACCTAGTGACGAACATAACACCATCATTACTTACTTACTTACTTACTTACGCCTGTTACCCCCAATGGAGCATAGGCCGCCCACCAGTTTTCTCCAACCAACTCTGTCCTGGGCTTCTCTCTCCAGTTCTGTCCAATGTTTGTTCATTCCTCTCATATCTTTCTCTATTTCTCGGCGTAATGTATTCTTTGGCCTTCCTCTTTTCCTTTTGCCTTGAGGGTTCCATGTGAGGGCTTGTCTCGTGACGCAGTTAGGTGCTTTCCGCAATGTGTGTCCTATCCACTTCCACCGCTTCTTCCTGATTTCCTCCTCCACTGGAATCTGACTTGTTCTCTCCCACAGTACGTTGTTGCTGATGGTGTCTGGCCAACGAATCCGAAGTATTTTGCGTAGACAACTGTTAATAAACACTTGTATCTTCTGAATGATGGCTTTGGTAGTTCTCCAAGTTTCCGCTCCATACAGTAGAACTGTCTTGACATTTGTATTGAAAATCCTTATTTTGGTTTTGTTTGAAAGTTGTTTGGAGTTCCAGATATTTTTCAACTGTAGAAATGCAGCCCTCGCTTTGCCAATCCGCGCCCTCACATCTGCATCCGATCCACCATCATAGCCCAGTTTAAACTCAAAATAACTAACTCATTCATCTAGGAACACTCAAGCAATGATCGAAGACACTTATTATCAGACAATCGTAACTAATAAATATCCTCTTTCCCTAATGTGACTATGTTTCATGCAATTAAAGTAGAATAGAGCGAACTTCTGAGCAGCAGACTTATTCTTTGGTTGGCAGACAGACATTTCACCCTCCTTCACAAGTGGTATAAGTTGACAATGGTCAATGTGGTTTACTGAATCTGAATTATGATCTTCTTGATCACCATTCCACCGGGGCTAATGGAAATTTTAAGTGATGTACCAATTAACCAGCATGGATGGAAGTGAGTTAAAATAATTCTAAATAAATTCTTAATAAAGCCCAGTGCTCAAACTGAATTAAAGACATATTAAAATCTACTATAAACACCATCTTAAACTGATTCAAGCATACCTGATTTCCTGGACAGGTTTTTACTGTTTAAAGATAACTAATAAATACTCCAAAGTAACATAATAAATCATTCATCGAAATTTTTCATCCACGTAATCAACATAAAAGATCCTGCAGATATTAAAATAATGATAGTGGGAAGAAAAACCATTTCTAGCTATTGAAACTAAAACAGATAAAACCAATCAAAATGACTAACTAACCTGATGATAGTACTTACTGCAATGCGAATGCATACTGAAAACTCAACTGTAATAAATAGTTAGATTTCAGTAGACTTCCTAAGTGATTAACATAAAAGCTTATCAAAAAAAAAAGGTAAACTTATATAAATCACATGTGATGAAACGACCAATAGATAAATAAGAATACCGAAATATGGTAAGTTAAGTAATTAATGCATCTAATTAACCCGAATTCGAATAGTGAATAATAAATAAAAATAGATCAAACATTAAAATATTACTAAAAGATTAAACAAGGAATATGTATTGGTAAAAATCAAAGTGAAATAGACGGTGTTTCGATGAATAAAAAATATTTTATCCTACAAATAAGGTGAGATAAGACGACGACAACAATTTGCAAATGATTCCAGTCTGTAGGAATGATTAAGTATGTGATGCGATAAATCTTCTTATCCATTTTTGTATATCCATACTTAGTCGGACCCCACTTTGTGTGACAGTGCTGATAAGAAGATAAGTACCGTTTTGAGGATGAATTTATTTCATGTATTCAATTTAAGCAGACAAACATGAGAACGAAGAGAGTCCAAGAAAAAAAGGAAGTGAACTGGAGAAGGCGAGTGAGCTAACTCAATGCACTAAGTATAGACGAAATATTTAAATTAATACAATAATAGGCTAGACATGTAATAGGCGAGTAAGCATGCACGAACACATACAATTAAATATGAAACAGTCCATAGAGTTATAGAAGCATTAAAATAAATAACCGTTAAAAGTTATGTCTATCAGGTGTTATAAAAGCTCCCCTCCCAACGAACAAGGAAACCAAACTATGGCTTTGTTTGCGAAAAGAGAATGTAAAATTGGATAGAATGGATAATATGTAAGTGTACGCAGTAAAGATATGAAATAAAACTAATATGAAAGTTAAAACAAGTACATGTTAGCCTGAGTTCGTATATGAAGTAAAAGTCATTTACAAAAGAATAAAACGCATTTAGTAGTCACTGCCTATAAATAAGTAGATAAACTAGGGATAAAATAATACGGAAAAAGTATAACGTTAAGCTAAAGAATCGCGTTATCATTCAAACAAAGAATAGTAATCACAAAAAAATATACGAAAAAAAACTGAGTGCAGGAACGAAAAAAAAGTAAAACACTAAAATGTATGCAGGTGGAGGCTCAACATTGCACTTCGGTGGGTTGAAACTCGCGACGAACCCTAATCGGGTGCGCTCGGGCGTGTAGTTTTTGTCAGTGGGGAGGTCTCACAGTCCTCCCTTTAATGCCTAACATAATTCAATCTTTACTACTACACACATTCATTAGTTGCCAGCAAAAAATTCATTTCAATCACACTCAACTATCATCTATCATCATATTATTCATTGACGACTAATCCAAACACTATCAACACAATCACTTACATAATTACTGTCTATCATACACATTGGTACACTTCATCTTATATATACACGCCGAACATTACCTACATCTTTAACATAATCATGCATAACATTCACCAGTCTTTATATCAATAATACTCATATTCTATTCACTGTCTACTTTGTCTGCTTCCTACAGATCACTAATCTAGATCAATTCAATGTTATACTATTATTGTGTACACAAATTTCACAATGCACATGAACATTTTCTCAATCTACTCGACAATTGAATGCATCAGTGCAAATCAAAGTGAATTTCATGGTGTTTTAACAATTGAAATATATATCTTTATATCAGAATAAAACAACAAAACATATCCAGTGTGTAACATTGCATCAGTAATTTCTCCATATCAATGTAAATGATCATGTAGAATTATTATCAAAGCGATTTGCACTTTCAGCCTACTATCAACTGTAGTGAGTAGTGTATAACGTGCGCAATTTACCAGTAACAATATGGACATGGTGACATGTATACTGCAAACTGGTTGATTTTATGCATGAAATAATGATGTACAATTGATTTGTAGTTAAATGGACACATTATCTATTGTGGACATGAATGTTTGAGTTGTGAACTGCATGTTGATTTGCATAGAGTGATTTTATTGCAATGTTGTTGAAAATGACCGGGTGATTTACTATGAGCTAGTGCTTAAACTTACCTGGCGCCGGGTTCAGGGTGATCAGGAATGCTCTGACCCCGGGTGGAGGCTCACCATTGCACTTCGGTGGGTTGAAACTCGCGACGAACCCTAATCGGGTGCGCTCGGGCGTGTAGTTTTTGTCAGTGGGGAGGTCTCACAGTCCTCCCTTTAATGCCTAACATAATTCAATCTTTACTACTACACACATTCATTAGTTGCCAGCAAAAAATTCATTTCAATCACACTCAACTATCATCTATCATCATATTATTCATTGACGACTAATCCAAACACTATCAACACAATCACTTACATAATTACTGTCTATCATACACATTGGTACATTTCATCTTATATATACACGCCGAACATTACCTACATCTTTAACATAATCATGCATAACATTCACCAGTCTTTATAT